GTATACGAGTGCAAAAAACTAACATGAAATTCAACAACTCTGAATAAAAATATTGATTTTAGCGACCCAATCTGATCTATAATTCCTAGTTTTTGGTGTAAATTAATCTCTTATTCTCGAAATAATTTTTTGTTTTGACTTTTTTAGTAATTTTATTCTAGTTACATTCTTGTCCAGATTGAAACTCTTAAACTCGCGGTGACAGCATCCCACATGGGGTATTATTGTGCACTAATTATCATAATAAAACTACATCACGATAAACTACAGAAGAGTTTGATCGGCTAACAACTAGTAGTAATTGAAAAAGCTTTAGGCTCTGTTTGGTTGCATTGAATTGGGACCAAAAATTGGAATTGAAGTCCTCAAATTCCAATTCTTGTGTTTAGTTGATAAAAATAAAGGTGTAAAAATTAAAATTACAATACTTTTTGAGGTTCAATTTTTTGTTTTCAATTCTTTTGTGGGAGCAAATAATTCAATTCAAATTCAAGGGACTTATAAAAAGATCGCGGGTCAGAAAACGGGTCAAAACTGAGGTATAAGAAAGTGGGTCTTCTAAGTAATGTGCAGCGTTGCTTCCCTTTTTCTATTTTTTTTTTATTTTTTTTTTTAGTTTTCCCTCCTATAAAATCGGTTTACATTTTACAGCGTGCATTACTTCTTTTTTCCAATTTTTCATTTTTTTTCCTTTTCGTCTTTTTCTTCAAATTTTCATTTTCAAAATCTCTCTCTTTAAGTCAATATATATATTTTGTTGCAAAAAATTTGTCAAAATATTTCCATACCCAAAATGTATTAGAAAATATTTATAAGTGACTGCATTTCCTTCGGTCAAAGAACCTTTTTTCTTATTATATTATAGTAAATGATATAAATTTTTTTTTGAGTTTTTTCTCAAACAATTATTCAAATTATATACACTTTGTGCACTAAAACTAATAATTTCTTAGTCCTAAAATGATTTTCCGGTTTAGATTTTCAGTATAAATTAAAACTCAAATTGGAAAATTATTTTATGATCGTGAAAATATAATTTTTCAAAAATTTTAAAAATAAAATGAGAAAAAACAAAGAGGTCTGACTTGGGACTTAATTTTTTATTGAGTAGGAATTTACTTTCACTAATAGATTTATGCAATAAAATTTTTTTATACACGTATATAATAAATTAGATAGCATATATTTTTAGTATAGTACTAAAAATAAAAATCTAACTGGATAATAATTTCAGGATAGAAGAGTAGTTATTAGCATATGAAATTTAATGTATATCTATATATAATAGAATACTACTAATCTGCATAAACTGATTTTTATATTAAATATTAATTTTTTCATTAAAAGATATGAAGAAATTCCAAATATTAGAAATTAAAAATGTTAAAATCTAATAAAAAGGGGAGAAACAACAACGGTTTACTCATTATTTGTTGTGTATGAGTGAGAATATCAATTATCATATTAATAATGCTTACGTGATTAAAAAAATCATAAATGTCTAATGTATATAATCAATTACAAAATTGATATAAAAAATTAAGAATTGTATTCATACAAACAAATTATATACCAAAATGTATTTTTAAAAAAAGAAAATAAGAATTGTTTTTATTATTTAGAAACAAGTAATTCCAACATGTATGTTGTAAGTATCCAAACGCAAGAATTGATATTAGAACCTTAATTCTAATGAATTTTTAAAATCTCACAAACAAAAAAATTAAGATTGAATTACAATTTCAATATCTCATTTTTAATTATTTTAAATTATAATTCTAATTTAATTCCAATTCATTCTAACCAAACGGAGCCTTAATGTTTCTTTCGCACTTTCTTAATGTAGAATTATCATGGATCCGTCCTTCTCTCTGCGAAGCTGGGGGGTGGGTGGTTGATAAGAGAATTGAATTATTTAGACGGATGGAGGCGATAGCTTGTGAAATCGTTATTGATAGGATGTGGTGTGGGTTATGACGTAAACATTAAAAAGTCAACACTAAGTGTAAATTAATTTGGAGAGATTTACGTAAAATAAGAATGGGGGGATTATGAAAAGTTGACTTCCAAATTAATTTACTTAGCTGCTGGCCACAAGTTTTATATTTCTTGATTAGATTACGAATATTAAGCACGGACTGCAATTAAATTTATTAATTAATCTTTAAGTCGCCCCTTTAAAAGTATATTAATCTATTATTCACCTACTTCGGTAGTCTTCTAGACTTTGTGTACGTTTCCACTATAATGTTGTAGTGTGATCCTTAAGGGCTATAGAAATTTGTCAAGCAAACTAAAAAAATACTCCTTCCGTCCCAAAATTATTATCCAGTTCATATTTTCATTTAAAGTATAAAATGAACTAAAAATGAAAACCTAAATTGGACAATAATTTTGGGACAGAGGGAGTAAAATAAATTTAAAACTCTAAACTCACTATTTCAAGATTTTAATTACATTGTTTTTCCATTCAAATTTTTACGCTTACATGTAATGTAATAGTTCAACGAGACGAGTTACTAAAATGAGACACGATGGAGGAAGAGATTTACAAGAAAAATCAAAGGAAATAAATTTGAAACTTGAGAGTCTCATGTGAAGTACGCAATGAATCACGCAGGAAAACATTACAGCATATTCGAATATAACTTTTCAATCCAGAAAAAAAGTCAGCACTGATCAGCCCGGAGAACTTGACTTCAAAATGAAATAAAATAGTTTGATTGTTTTTTTTTTTTTTAGTATATATATATTTTTCGTTCCCCATTGATGATGATTTATTTATTATTCCATCCGTCCCAAAATTATTGTCCAGTCTGGAGTTTCAATTTTAGTTCAATTGAATTAAAATTGAAACTCCAGACTGGACAATAATTTTGAGACTGAGTGAGTAGTAAATAAAATTCTATTATGTACATGTCATGCACCGCCCAGAAAAATTAGTTTTAATGACAATAATGAGGATAAAATTGGAATTATTGAAGGAACGAAATTATGAAAAATAAAATAAATAAAAAGACTGCCTTGGCTGTTGAGTTGGATTAATATGGAAAGTCAAGAGAGCGATGGAACTGACAGCTTCCACGACTCAGAACTGCGGAAACAACGTTGTTTTTTTTTTTTTTCTCTTTCCAAGTTTCGTGGCGGGGAAGGCGTGGAATGAGAAAATGTGATCCTAATGGTTTCCCACGCGAGGCAACCGAAAGACTTTGATAAGTTGCCTCAATTATTGACTACACAAAAAATAAGCTATTGATTTCCAAGAAAATGATATTTTACTAGACTTATCACCTCTCCGGGCTCCAGATAATACCTTTATCAAACATGATATTATCTAATCATTTTTCTCACATGCGAAAAGGTTTGAATTTTCCTCTTATTTGTTCATGTTGTTCTACTAGAAAAATATAATACTCTTTCGGTTCTAAGAATATATTTTACTACCTCCGTCCCTAAAAAATATAGTTTACATTGAATTTTTAAATTTATATTAAAAATAGTACAAAATTCAAAACTTAATGTAAACTATTTTTTTAGGATGAGAGGAGTACGAAATAATTTGTGAAGGTTTTCGACAGGAGGTACAGAATGAAATCAATAGAAAAGTGTATTTAATGTTAAAAAATATTAAACATACATTTTTTTCTCACTAAAAAACCTAAACAAAATTATTTAGAACCACTGCATTATTATTATTATTATTATTATTTACAACTAGAAGTCACAATGTGATGCCCTTTTGGGTTCAGATTTATATTTTAAGAAGTATTTAATTGGGGACAAATTTTCTTTTACAATATCCCAAAATTATTGTCTAGTTTGAGATTTCACTTTTAGTACAATTTAAACTAGAAATAAAAACCCAAACTAGACAATTATTATGGGACGGAAGGAGTATAAATTTGATAAGTTTTCTATAAAAAAAAATACTTCTAATAATCATCTATTATTAAAGATAGTACCACTACAAAAGATATTCATATACCTAACTTGAATTGATTGTTCTTTGAGATTTAACCAGTAGAGAGATTTGATCATTTTAATTTTTAAAGTATTTTTTAACATACTTTAACATTTGGACGAAATTTTGTGTGGGCTTGGGTCTACACAAAATCAAATCCAATCTAGCACAACTAGACAAGGGGGATGGAGAAGGTCTGTATCATGCTGCGGAAGTTGCAGCAATCAGTTTCTCTCAATCTGTAGTACTTCATCAGGCCGGGCATCAGGTTTCTTGCAGGGTACATCTAGTTCTTCCAAAACCAGAATAATGACCAGAGATACAATTACTGGTCAATATCAGATGGAATAGAAAAACTCCAACCCACAATGCTGCACATTCAGACACCAGATATCTTTCAGATGAGAAGAATTTTGATCTACAAGACAAGACATCAAATTACTGGGCAGCTTCCAGTTCTATGAATCTCTATCTTTGAAGATATACTTGGCATTTATCAACTTCTCCTTAGGCTTTCACATATTTAGCATTCTAGTAGTGCGGTGGTCAACAAGGGAATGAAGAAACAACAATCTTCAATGAAATGAACCACAAAGATACATTTCCAGTTCATGTCAAAAGTCAAAACCAATTAGCATCTTCCTCAAATCAACTGTTGTAAAAATTCAAAAATTTATGCGTAAGATTTTAAACAAATTTAAAGTGTTTAAATAAACTTCGACATTTTTATCGTACTTCCAAGTGTATTTATTTTGGTCGATGCTCGAAGCACGCACGTCAAATTTTGCAATTTCAAGAAAGAAACGCAGCATCTTTGCACTCGGAGCTCAGTTACCATCCATTAAAGAGTGAACATTAAGCAGAATGAAATCTTTAAGTAATCACTGCTAGGTCTTACCATAGTTTGAAACAAAGAGCTTCCACATTCAATATTTTTGCTTTCATGTCCCCAGACTACAAGAAGACATTTTTTAGGCATGACAAATCATGCTTCACTACATTATCTCCCTCTTGTATGTACACCATCTCAAACCGCTATCTATGCATCTTCAGCATCATCACTCATGCTTGGGCGAGTGTCGATGAAGAATTCCGAATCCGAACCATCCACAATCCTTCCTCTGTTTCACATACATGTATAATGGACATAGAGGGTTGAGAGCGGGCAGGGGAGAAATGGGAGAGCAGAGTAAAATAAGCGGTGTTTCGACAACCTGGAAGAGAGGTTTACCTTTCAAGTACAAATTTTCCTTCCTTGTATTTCTGACTTTTCTCATGTGCAGCTTCCTGGCATAACAACATAATTGGATTCCAGTATTAGAGCATTGTGGAAATATGAGCTAAGCCAAGTCAGCAAGGGTGGCAAATAGAAGATTACATATTTCCATCCAACTATTTGGCCGCAGCAGCAGCAAAATATATCAGCCACCGTGTGCATTCCAGAGAGCATCAGTCTCTCCTCATGGGGTCCGATCGTTATATTCACACTGCATGATTAAAAAATCAACACAAGTAAAAATGTCAAACATAGCTTCTGAAAGCAGGGAAGATCAGCACAATTCTATATTGCATACAGACTGGCTATTTACTAGCACATGTGTACAGGAAATACTTATGACCGACTGAATCATACTTTTCGGTAGAAAGGTTACAAGCAATCATTGCGGTCTAATTCTACTACGTTAAGAAGTCTTCTTGTGTCAGAGATGGTCAGACAATTCAGAGCAACTAGGTTGCCAAGTATGCAATTTTCTTTCTGGAGTAAACCAGAATGAGGGCCTCAGAGGTTTGGTTTAAAGACATCGCCAGTACTCAAGAAGTAAGCGCGGACTGCTAAACATTAATGAATGCGCCAGAGCCACCACCCCAATACAGAATAAAGCACAACCAGAAAACCAGAAAAGAAACTCACGCTTTGTTGAAGAGGTATGCTTTTCCTCTGCGACAATGAAATGCCTGGTCAGTACACAAACAAGCGTTAGATATCAAAACCATCCATATCATTCAAGTGAGGCAAGATAGAGAATTGTAAAAGCCATATGAAAGCTAAAATCCCAGAGCTGAAGCACTACAACATATAGCAAGAATCAGGCATAAATGATCTCTGTCTGAAGCAGATTCTAAAAGGTGAACTGAGTAAAGTTAAATCTCATGCAGATGTGCAACTAAAATAGAACCATAAAGGAATGCAATCCACAATACGATAAGAAATTGAATGCATTTTCAAGCAGAGGCATTAAATCTGAATCAGCTCATTAGGGCCAACATCAAAGAAAGCTCCAAGAAACAATTTTTATACACTGGTTTCCAGTGGATGAAACACTAACAATACCTAAGCATAATCAAAAGATTAAATTCTTATATAAACAAAAACACAATACCAAATTAAATTTATTTTTCAACCAATTGATAACTCTCAACTATGCTTATCCCCATATCAAAAATCCCAAATTTAGCTTTCCCGAGTAACTTCACCAACAATACGAAAACGGAATTTAAGATTAGGCAGAGAGAGTACCCTAGAGACAAGATCATCAGCAAGGGCCAGGTGGGTTTTGCAAAACTTGCACCTGTATGTTCTGCCTTCCAGATCTACCATGAATATCCTCCCCATCTCGATTATCAGTTTCAGCTTCTACACAAAAAGACACTCATTCTCTTGAGTATCAAAGAAATGAGAATCCCCCTGTTTATAAGTTACAATGATAGCAACAAGTTTATGAACGCCAGAAAACAGAGGAGACAATAGTAAGAGCAAGGCAAAAAGATTGATAAGGAAAGAAGAGTCTGGGTGTAACACCTCAACCAGACTCCCCTTCATTTATACGAAGGAATCATGGTCGAACGGCCGCCTGACTCTCGTCAGGTCTTAATAAAACAGTTCAAAAGATAATCAAGAGCGAAACCCACCACAATCTCATGCCATAAAATGTTTTAGTAGCTGATACACATAGATTAACTTTACATGTCTTCGTCCAAGTAACTCAAATTGCTATTCCTTACATAAAAGTAATTGTGTAAGTTACAGAGTACACCTATAACCCAAGCTACTAGCGAGCCAGCAGCCCAAACTCTAAAGTCCCTAAAAGAGGGAGGGAAAAAAAAAAGAAAAAAAGGCAGCATTTGATGAGCGCACACTCAGTGAGGTCTCACTGTTTACCAGGTTATTAGTCTATGTGACCACATAGTCAAGCAAGTTATCGCAATAAGCAATACATAAAAATAGGAAATAATAGGGATAATGATGTAAACATTTATACGTGGTTCCCTTGGGCCGTAACACAAATATCCAAACACATCATACAAGGGAGGATACGGGTGAATTAGATAGAAGTCAACCCTGCCTATATGGCTCGTGAAGCGAACTTCTAACCAGCCGCAAAGCTAGTAATGATGTCATGAAATGGAAGACAGAAAATGTAAATCGACGACCAAAGCCAAACAGGGCATGGAAGGGGGTATATCTCGAGATTATACCGGTAAAACCCTCTTACGTTATCTAGTTGGGTGATCAAGCCCATGGCTGACATGCCGGTGTCAATTTCCCAACAGGTAGTGGATCCACAAATGATACATGCACAAGTTTCAGGCAAGACTCGAAAAATAACATGTATATCGAGCACTCAAAGGAAGGCACATGCCGACGCCGTAAAGTACACATGGCCTGGACACAAGGATCACTCTACATAATTCAATATGCGACCACTTACACAAATTTCAAGTTCACAGTCTAGCATCCAACTAGCCTGATTTGTGGTGCTTATTAAACATGTATAATTCAAACCAGAGAGTCATCCTGAGAACAAAGAAGCGTATATGCAATACACCTAAACATAGTTAGTAATTACGCACCCTGTGCAATAAAGTACCCAAGCAGGACAGCCATGATATGCTCAAAGATCAATAGATAAACAATAGACATGCATCCCAGGTTTGATATTGTATCCTAACCAGTTTACATGCAATTATAATTCAGTGAGATTACTCACAAGAATTGCGGGACATTCCATTTCTCCGTCAGCTCAATCTGCAATCTTTATGAGCAATCAATAACAATGGTCACCTCAAGTTAGGTCGTATTTGCTTTAACAAATTGTATATCCCCTACTGCGTTTTCCCACCAACATTTTAGACTAGTTTTCTTATTGCTACTAATAGTTTGATTGATTACTAGGGTTCCTGAGTAATGATATATGAATACTGCAATGCTTTTTTACTGCTATTATATTAATTGGGGGTTTTAACATAAGTAGCATATGGATATGATGCTCCAATTTACTACTAAGAGTACCCTTCCTAAGCTTATGTATTGAACCCCCAAATCTCCCAAACCACCCAGTCCTCCACCTCCCTATATATTTTCTTCATTCCTTGATTCGAAGCTAGCATTAACCTGTCCTTCCTATTTTACCATTTCAATTTGTTTATTATGTTTCAATTCAATGTTTCCTAGCTTAATCATAGAAGGTGTAACAGTAAGAACAAAAATCCAGGTCCACTAGCTATGTAATTAACATCAGTGTCAAAATCTAATTTTACATATCTATTCATCATCAAACCCTGATCGGTACCGACTTTGATTCGGCGTCAATCAGCTCAAAATTTTTCCAACATCATGCTCAGATATCCAACACTAGAATATAACCCGAAATCAAAAGGAATAAACTACAGCTCTAAGCGATAATAATTGGCAAATACCTCAGCTGCTAATCTCTTTTCCTCTTTTCTTCTTCCTAGCTCGTCCCTTTTCCTTTCCTCTTTTCTTCTTTGATTCAGTTACCAGCCTGCAACTTAATCTCTCTTTTTCCTTGACTTAATTATTCAGTTTTGGAAAAGATAGTGATGGGTGAAGAAAGATGATGAAAGATGGAGTTTAGGCAGATTTGTGTGGACTAATTGGCTCAAAACGACAACGTGACCAATTTTGGGTTCCAAGTACTCCATTTTTACCCAACCATGGTAATATAATGCTAGCACCAGTTAACTTTACTTTGGGACTTCAGTTATTCCTTCTTCTTTTTTTTTTTTTTGGTTTAATTTTATTTTTCCTTTTCCCATTAATCGTAAATAAATACTTATATGTATTTATAATTACTAATTAAATCTGGGTAACACACGTCCGCTTACCAACAACTTGGTTTCATTTCTCCAATAATTCTTCATAAACTAGTCCACTTTGAATTTTCAAATTTGTACTAAAAACAGTTTACGTTAAATTTTCAAATTTATACTAAAAATAGTACAAAACTCAAAACTCAATGTGGGCTATTTTTTTTAGGATGGAGGGAGCATATAATATTGACTGCTTTCAGTTCAGTTTCAGCTTACTACTAGTCATTAGTTAGGAAATATTCATCTCCACAATCATCCATCAATTCTATACTTCTTTTCCCCATCTTTTTTTTGTTGTTCGTTTCTCTGAGAAGTATAATCTCTATCCAAGTTTCTTCAAGATGGCATTGTAATGAGCAATTTTGATTGAAGTTTAAAAATTTTAGATTTATGGGAAATCAGGTAACGCGACATCTTGGGTCTTCCGGTGTTCGTCTACTCTTAAATACTTTATTTGGTCATATTAGTTTCAGCATTACCCGTGCACGATGTTTATATTTTGCTCTTTCAATTTCTAGAAAGACTTCATTAGCTTTTCACTCATTTTTATGTAAATATCAAAATAATAGGGAGACAAACAAGAAAAAGTAGTAATAGTTCACTAAATAATCAATTATGTATGTAGGATACTACATACTCCATCTTTTTTCTAAAAAAAGAAAAAAAAATTAAATCCACATCAAATTGTGAAATTTGTATCATTTTTTTACATAAAAAATCAATATAGTTTTTTTTTTTTTAAGAACATAGGTAGTATAACTGTATAAGTATGACCACTTGCCTAAAGAATTCACATTTTAAGTCCTCATTGAGATTTTGGGATTTACCTGCCGAGATAATGCATATTTCTTTATCATAATTAACTAAAAGGATTATAGTTGAGTGGTAGAGAAATCATTCAATCATAATCGTTGAGATGGTTAAAAATTAGTACAACTCAGCAAACAGAATTATTCATTTTTGTCATACGTAGAACACTCTTGCCATAATTGTTGACACGTAGAAAAACAAAGGCAATCCTTCTTCATACGAACCAGACACCAGGAAGAAGAAAATAAAAATAATAATAATAATAAATAAATAAATAAACCAAGCACCGGTAATTGTGGGCAAATAATAACAATCACCTAAATATGCTCGTAAGATGTATCTCATAAGCATGTGTAATACACTCTCCTTAGTGGAGCTTTTAGTCCAAATTTTAAGACACCACACGCGCATTAAATTCTCCAAATTTTATCCCATTTTTTTTAGCACACGTTTAATTTCAAACTGATTTTTTTTAATATTTATCCTATTAAATTTTATATTATTTTATTTCATAAGATTTTTTTTTGGTTAAAATGATCGATTCTTTTTTTTAGTAAACTGGATATGTGTACGAGTAAATTTATGATGAGTAACAATATTCGCAAAGATGAATAACGATGCAAATCTTAATGAATAATAATACTAAAATAAAGAATATATGTAGTTTTTGCAAGATGAATGATTGTAATTTAATAAATGAATAATATATCGTTAGTGGCTGAATAATATAAAACATAATGAATAACTTTGATCAAAAAAACTAACAAAAATATATTTTACAATGAAATAATGTCAGTAACTAAGCTAACAAAATTCTAATTATGAAGTATACTATATCAAAATTGATCAGGAAAACTAGTCATTGTTTTTAACATATAAGGTCTTGAAAGATCTGCCGATGCTCGATATGTTTATGTTGATTGTTTGATTTCAGCAACTCTGCCAAATATTTGATTTGCGACCGATCAAGTTCATTTTGATGAGCATTTTTTTGACGCTAATCAAACAAAAACAACATTACAATATGTGAGATTTCACATTCATTCAAAACTCTGTTAATCATCAATAACAAGGCTATTGAAGATGAATAAGCATCTTTAAAATGATGAATAACCATTAAAACTATATAATATGTCATGTTAATATGATAAATAACCATTATATACTAATGAAAAACTATTTCACCAATGATGAATACCTTGACATGTAAGATGAATTATAATGTTTTACTTATTAAAATCAGAAAATGTAGTGTATTATGATTATAAATTTGTTAGGAAGAATACTTATAGTTTTAATGATTAACAACTATATCTATCTATATTTATATGCATAGGTCATTTGAACAATATGTTGAATATACAAATAGATGAATAACCAAATATTACGGATGAATATGACCAAAATATACATGTTCCATTTATCTACTCAGAAATAACAATTAACAGAAAAAAGGATAACAATCGCATAACACCATTATTATGATGAATAATCCTATATTATCGATGAATATTGGCAGGGTAACTGCTGAATAATGAACATATCTGGAACCCTTCCAAAATCAATAACCAATCGATGAACAAATATAACAAATTGGTGAAGAACCATATAAAATCGAGTGCAGAGACCTTAGATATACATAACCTAACCAAAAAACTAAATATGAATAACCAGCTAATAACACAATTATTATGATGAATCTATTAGTTTCAAGGATGAATATCAAATACGAACTAATGAATAATGTCCATATTTATTAGTCTTTTGCAAAACCAACAACAGAACAATGAAGAAAACTTAAAAATTGATGAACAAAAATCTATAATCGAATGCACATACCTTATATCTATATAACCCAATCAAAAAAACACATCAATTGTTGAAGAGATTAAAACCCAATCATAAACCTCTGGCGATTCACAAAATCTAAACTTTGTTCTTTTTCACAAGAGATCTAAATCCATAAACCTCTAGCAATTCATCGAACAGGTTGGAACTGGCAATTCGAAATCACCAATAAAAGATTTTGAAAAGTTCAAACAAAATTCACCGGACAAAACACAGAACAGATGAATAATCTCAAATCTTACCGTAATTCTCATATTCAGCAGCGTATATTGCAACCAAACTCACAGGTTTGATGCACAATCGGATTTCGTCTTCAAAAATACCACCGACGAGAGGTTTCGATGCCAAATCGCTGCAAAGAATATTTTATTTTTTAGATTTTTTAGTTTGAAACGTCTTTGGATTGGAATAGGAAGTTGGATGGATATGATTAATGATGGCTGAAAATTACGAGAGATATTAGGAAATTGAAAATTTGTAAAATCCTTTTTTTACCCCCTTTTTGGACACGTGAATTTCAAACTAGGTATACCTAGGAGCTCTATATTATAACTGGTGGTTGTGAGCTAGGTCCGGCGAGTTAGGAGGTACGTTGGCCAGGCCTTACGAGCTGTAATTTCTGGGCTTCATTATCAGGCTTTTTCATAGTATTAGATAAGCACTATTCTTAGCTATACAATATCCTCCCTCCGATTCTTAATATAAAATATTTTTATTTGTCCTAGGTTTAACCTAATACTTATTTTTAATTGACAAAAAAATCTTTAAAATATTTCATAACAATCAAAAGAATACAACGAACGTGAAAATATATTTTTAAGTTTTTTTTCGTCAATTAAAAATACGTATTAGGTGAAACTTAAGACAAAATTAAAATGCGTTATATTAAGGACTAGTGATGTCTAGTCGCGCAATGCGCGACCCTAGCCCAATATTTCTATAGATCTTAGAAATGTTTGTATCTGAAAAAAAAATATTTTGTATTTGGCCCGATATATTTTAGAAATATTTGAAGAATTTTAGAAATATTTTATAAGTGTGATGTTTGTATTTGGTATAAAAATAAATTATATTTGGCCCGGTATGTTTTAGAAATATTTGAAGATTTTAGAAATGTTTTATAAGTGTTACTTCTTAAATATAAATAAACTTGATCAAATATATGTCTTGAAGTAAATGCTAGAAAAAATATAAAAGCATCCTAACAAGTTTAAATATTAGTAAGATAACTTATTGATGTTCTCCATTGGTTATGCCAAATCAATACTTAGTTTTGGAGATTTATAATAGCTTTGTAGTTAGCTTCCTCCAAAGGGTATATGCTTAATTGTTGGAACTATTTCTTTCAAAAGTTTATAGGTAGTAAAATATCAAAAATATGATTTTGATACTGGTTAATTGTTGAAACTGGTTGATCACAAATATAAGAATGAAAATAACGAAAATTTGCATAGGTTTCAAGATATAGTAAAAAAGAACTCACTTCACCATAGCAAATAAAAAAAAAAAAAGAGTAAAAGATAGCCCATTAAAATTTGAGAATTTTTTTTTCTGTAGGTAAAAATGATGTACAAAAACACAAATAAACGTAGAAACATCATTCCTTCCCTCTCCACCTCAAATTCATAAAAGGCTTCCCCATAAATTAGTTAAAAGAAGCGACCTGAACTATTTATATGATGAGGAACTAAAAAAAGTCCAAAAACCAAATCCAAAAAAGTATATTCTTGAAACCTCGAACACAAAAAAAACGTGCTTCATTTGCAAATAAAATAATAATAATAATAATAATAATAATAATAATAATAATAATAATAAGAATAAGAATAATAATAATTGGTCAACTGGGAGTATAAAACAAAATCAAAAGCAATTAAACAAAGAAAAAACACACTTCATAACTGGCCATATACGAAAAAAAATCTGAGACTCCATAATTAAAAAAAGAAAACCACTCTAATTGAATGAAACATAAAAAATAAATTTAAAAAACCACACTTTGTAACAAAAACCCAATCAATCAATTCAATCCAAACATAACTAAAATCATAAAAAAATTCTAGACTAACTAATCAAATAAGAAATCACATCATACTAGCTGACAACAGCTCTGGTAGCTGTAACGGATGGACGCATAAAAATAATAGTAATAACACTATTCTTGAACGGAAAAAATAAAAAATAATAAAAGCCAAACCAATTATCTGTGGAAATAAAATCATTTAAATTTTAATACCTCTAATGACACCACCACAACAGCTGAAGCAAGATCAATGAGAATTTTTTTTTCCTTTGTGTTTATATAGAGAGGTAAAGAGAATATTTTTTGAAGTTAAAATTTTATCCAATTAGGATGTAGTTGATCATCATTAATGAAAAGATTGAACATGCTAATAGGAAATGAGTATATTTCACCACATATTCTCAATTAATGATTGATGAGGAATTTTTTTTTTTTTTTAAACTATGGAGAAGGGATTGATTAAGGAGTCGATTGTCTTGGCGATGGGATGAGAATTTGGGTTTTTTGTGAACTTGTGTTTTTTTTTTTTTTTGTTTTGACGAAAATAGAAGGTGGAAATAAATTTGGACTGCATTTGCCTTTTAAGTTTAGGAGATGTGGAAATAAAAATTTATTTTAAAAATATGATATGGAAATGGCACATGGCAAATGGTGATGTTTTCTCTTAATTGTGGTTTTTGTTTTTAATATAGTAAGATATTATGGTTAGGCAGTAATTACCGGAATCTGAGTCATCTAGCTCTTGGGCTCAAGGTCATGGTTATATAAGTGAGCATGCATTAACTTTTTTGATGGGCTCGCTTTGGATTTGTATATCAGAATTTAGACGTTCTGGAAGAGTGGAAGGCCGGAAATGGACCAATTTTACATTCTTTTTTTTTTGTTTTTTTTGTTTTGTTTTCGGACATAGGAACATAACATGCCATCTAACGTATAATGTGACGTTATTGATGCATTGTAATCAATTACATATAAAAGTTCGGAACGAACTTGTTAGTTTTACGATGATAACATGATATTATATGTGGCTACAAAGAAATAGATTATGGTCCTCTTTCAGTTTTACTTGTACGCTGAAATATCACCATCTCACATCCAACATAAAAATTTTAAATCATCAAATGAATCTGTTTTAACTTTTAAGTTTCTTTTCCAGGACCGCGATCATCTGAAGTGGAGTTCCGAATTTCAGTCCAAATGACTAGAGGTAGACTGTTAAGGTGCATAATCTGTTTCATATTACCAGCGTGAGAAGAAGTGACTCAGTATATAAGTTTCAAAGCCAACTCTACTCATTGTTAATTGGTTTTGAGATGGGAGCCCAAAATACTTAGGCCTTGTTTGTCCATCACTTGTTTTACCTTTTTGTCTCATCTTATCTCTTAAAACAAGTCTCAAACACAAATCCCAATACTATTCAAAAAAACTTTATAATTATTTTTACACAATTTTTGTCCACTACCACTAAACCACCTCCACCACCACCCGCCACCGCCGGACCGCCACTTACTGCCGCCGGCCGGGTTCCGGCCAAATTCTAGCCAACTCCGACCGGCGGCGGCGGTGGACGGCCCGGCGGCGGCGCCGGTGGTGGAGGTGGTCCAGTGATGATATAAAAATATTATTATTTTAGTCTAAAATATTACCCAAATAATTTTTTAAATTTTATCTCAAACCACATTTTAAATCACATCTCAAATCCAAATAAAAATTTAAAACAAAAACTAAAACAAAATGTCAGCCAAACAAGCCTTTGACATAGACCCTAATTTTTATTTTTATTTTTTTTGGGTTTCCAAAAAAAAAAGACCCTAAATTTTTTTGGAATTACAGCTTACGTTTTCAAATTAATAAAACATGCATGTCTCAATGCTAAAAAGGCACACACGTGTACTAACATAAATTTGTAACAACATCAACTAATTTCTTGAATGAGTACATTACGAGCTAAAGTTCAAGAGATATTATTATCACTATGATTAAGAGAGTTTTTTGGATTCAGTTGTGGATTGGTTGGGGTCTTGGGGAATACATAAGTTCTTAAATAGAGAATGTGTGGTGAATCTTCATCTTTCCGAAGATCAAATTTCATAGTACCCTATTTTGCATCAGTAACAGTGCAAGAACACAGTAGAAGTTGTGTAGATTTGAGTTTCAGTTAGGTTAAATCGTGACTCAGACATGATTTTACAAAAGTAACGATTTTCCGTAATGTAATGAGAATATAGTTTGAAGGTTATTCTGTTATATTGTATCAGGAAAAATTCAAACACACACTCACCTGTAATAACAATTTTTATTTCCAACATTAATCTTACTAGCTGACTATAGCACGGAGGTCCGGAAAATCAGATTCTCGCAACATCAGGAGAGATTCCAAGTAATGAGGGCTTGAGGCTGCTACGCCAATGGTTTGACTTTGGAAGCTGTAAAGCACTAAAGAGTCAATTTGGACATCCACTTTCTACCTTCTTGATCTTGCCTTGTAGTAGTGCACTAATGAAAGCTGAGCTGCCATCACCTTTGCCATTCAGAACGAAAATAACAGAACATTATACACTTCTGTACGGGCAAACAGATATATAATGTTCACAAGGAATGGATCGATTCTTAAACGTGGCGGGGTTGCCAACTTTGACTCGTCAATTAAGTTTTCACGACTCGGCAGATATAGAAGAAAATCAAAAGGAACATAATCTTATCAGCTTGTCGATTTGTTTGAAAAAAATACTGAGTGCACTTGTTGCAACTTGCATCACTTCAGTATATGCCACACATTATTTTATTTGCGAAAGTTTGTAATTTCAGGAAGAGTTGATACTTTAAAAAAAGACGACGATGCACCAAGTGCATAAATTATTTCTTGGTGTTGATCATAAGCCGCCTCCAAATTAAGAAGCAACTCCAACAAGGAGCGAAACTTATTGCATTATTGAGCACTGATACACTTCCCTCGTCTCAAATTATTATCCAGTTTAGATTTTCAGTTTTAATTCATAGGGAATATATATTAAACCAGACCATTTCTATGTATAGTTACTAGTATATAATAGCCACATCTAGCTTGAAGCTCTCATTGCCATTTCCACATTAGCAAAATGTTTATTCCTTTTACTCCTCGAAAATTACCATTCCTTGGGACTGCATTCATTGTAGTTCTATTTGCTTTTAATGCAAAAGCTCAAGTGCCAGAAAACAAAACCTTCAAAATCTTAAACGCCGGGTTTCTGGGAGAGTATGAAAGCTTCCCAATTACCACGGAATACAATGCAACTTATCGCGTCATTACAAACCAAGTTTACGACTTCCACACTTTTCCCTTCAGACTTTGTTTCTACAACACTACTCCGGCTTCTTTCGTGTTAGGCATTCGCGCCGGCGACCGCGACGATGAATCGCTCATGCGGTGGGTTTGGGATGCAAACCGGAACCACCCCGTCGGAGATAACGCAGCCCTTTCCTTCGGCCGGGACGGAAATCTTGTCCTCTTCGATTCCGACGGAAGTTTGGTGTGGCAAACCGGCACCGGAAACAGGGGTGTCACCGGGATTAAATTGCTGCAGAATGGTAATCTAGTGCTGTATGACAAAAAGGGCAAATTTATCTGGCAGAGTTTTGATCATCCCGTTGATACATTACTCGCAGGAATGTCGGTTTCCAGTACTAATAATGCCGTAAATAAGCTTGTTAGCCGGAATTCTGACATTGACGGCTCCGATGGGAAATACAGTCTTGTCCATGGCGAATCAGGGCTCCTTCTGTATATGAGCGATTCCGGCCGGCAAATTATTTACAATGGTTGGCCTGGAAATTGGGGAAATTCCGCCAGATTCTCTGTTCAACCTACCGGATGGGAGACTCCTCCGGCCACAACTTGGGATCTTAGATTTCAAATCCTCGTGGATTCATCACCAACACCGTATGTTGCCGGAATTCAACAACTCTCGAGCATCAAATACAACGCCACATACTCATTCTTGAGGATTGAATCGGATGGAAACGTGAAGGCCTATACTTACTACGACAGAGTTCGATTCGACAGATGGGTAAAGAGCTTCGCTTTCTTCTCGAATTCTTACGTTAGAGAATGCGGGTTGCCCACGAAATGTGGTTCCTTTGGTCTCTGTGACAACGGGATGTGTATCGGGTGCCCGACTCCGAAAGGGATTCTGGGTTGGACTGAAAATTGTCAGCCGCCGAAGCTAAAGGCTTGCCGGAGCAGTGGTAAAATATTTAAGGGTAAGTATTATAAGGTTGCTGGTGCAGAGTCGTTTATGAATCGGGTTTGGTCATCGGGAGAGGGGCAAGAAGGTCCGATGAAGCTTGAAACATGCAGAGACAAATGCAGTAATGACTGCAACTGCAAAGGTTTTGTATACAAGGAAGATACTTTTATGTGTTTTGTCTTGCCGGTGCTTGGGACGCTTGTCAAATTTGCAAACACTTCTTCTGTGTATGTCAAATATTGAGAATGCCATCCATCCAATCTTTTGGGATTTGGGAACAAAGAAGTGTAAACATTTTCACTTTTCAGTCATTATGGGCTGACAAGTAATTTAGTTCACCGTCCAAAAAAAGTCCATAAATTATACTTCTTATGTTTCATATTATTGCCTAATTTGAATTTTCATTTTTCTTTCAATTTGTGTTAAAACTAAAAATCCGATAACAATGGAAGGAGTATAATTTTTTCATTGTGGATATTTTAGGACAGAGATAATTATTTTAATATTGTGGGTGGCTTATGCTGGAGAACTCCTGGTTTGTGCGCACTGAAGAAACAATTGCAACTCAAACCTATCTTCATCTAACACTACACAAATGATAAATGAAATGAACGCGTTTGAACTTTGAAGCAACTCGCACAGTAGCTAGTTCTGTGGGGTTCAAAGTTAAGTTGTAAAACACGCAGTGTTCATGGCCAGGAGCCCAGGAAATCTAGGAGGCCAGGAGACCATCAAATGTGGAGCACCAATCCAAACTTATAAGAGGTGGAGCACTAATTTTTAAAGGGTTAACAGCTCATGTACCTTTTCCTTTTTTCTTTTTAAGTTCTGTGGGCTCATGTAACTCTCTCAACATATATATATATATATATATATATATATATATATATATTTGGTAAATCGCTTAGCCAACAGGCTAAACCTGGTTTACATATATAAAACAGAGGACTGTCTATGATTCTGCCTCAACTAACCGAGATATAAACATTGGGGGAGCATAAAAAAACATATTCCCTATGACCATCTAAGGCATGCTTAGCAAGAGCATCGGCGTATAGATTATTTTCCCTACATGTATACACAACTTGTACTTCCCAAATGTCTTGCAAAAGATTGAAGATGGTCCTTAACTCAGGATCCAGTGGCATATTAGCTTCCTCTTTTAAGCGATTTACCTGGTCGATCGCCATTTGAGAGTCGGACTCGACAACTAACCGAGAGTTACCTTGTTGTTTTGCCACTTGCAATGCCAGCAAAATGGTTCTAAGTTCAGCCGTGTCAACAGAGCAAATTCCTTCATCTCTGTTGAAAGCTACCAAAAATCGGCCTGCAGCATCTCTGAGGATTCCTTCTATTGCAGCCTTACCGGAGAACGTGCAAACGGTCCCATCGCAGTTCACTTTATGCCACAACGGGGGTGGTTTCTTCCAGCCTAGCTCCTTCACCCTGTTGTTATTCCTCTGCTGCCATCTCAGCAACTCTTGACTCCTTGCAATTTCTTCGAATTTATGCACCGCCGCTCAAATGGTGCTCCCTGCATTTGGTATCACTCCATTGAAGACGCGATCGTTCTGGCAACTCCATAGCAACCAACAAGTGGACCCAAAATTCGTGCGCCATTTGAAGTCATCAACTTCCAAGTTGCTTCTAAGCCATTCCTTTGCATTTTGATGGAAAAATGTTTGCCTTCGAGTCGGCGGTACCACCTGCGTCCAAACTTCTCGAGCTAAATGACAATCTCGTAGTGCATGTAACATTGATTCTATCTCCGTGTTGCAACACGAGCACATCTCTGATTCAATAGTCCCCCTTTTCTTGCACACTTCATTCGTCGGTAGCCTCCCATGGAGTGCTAGCCATAGGAAAGTTCGAATCTGCTGTGGCCCCTTCCATTTCCACACATCTTTCCAATCCCTATCAACCTACAAAAGAGAGTCGTCATTAGCTAAAAGGTAAACCGATTTCACAGAGAACTTACCTGATTTATTGAACATCCAGCGTGGCCTGTCCTTTCCCAAAACACTCCAATGCTGGCGGCATACTACAAATCTTCGTCGCCAACTCGGGTGGCAACAACGGCACAAACTTCGACACATCCCAACTCCCATCAGCCAGAGTGAAGTCCACAACTGCCCTCCACTTCTATTCCTCCGGTAATTGGCTCAATGTCTGGTCTGCCAACCTTCCTAACCCCTCAATCCATTGATCCTCCCAAAATCGCACCGTCCTACCATTCCCAATAACCCATGTAAGCCCCTTTAGCACCAGATGGAAGACATCCAGCACACCTTTCCATATATGGGAAGTATTCCTAGCCCTTTCCAAATACACACCCCCCCCTCTTTTGTTGACAATACTTTGCCCTAAGCACTTGCACCCACAACTCCTCCTCCCTGCTCACTAATTCCCACCTTATCTTCATCAAGTATGCCATATTACTCTCCCTACCTTTCCTCAAACCAAGCCCCTCCTTCTCCTTCGGGCAGCAAATCGTGTCCCAATTCATGGATCTTCGTCCTATCCACAGCTGACCCCCATACAAAGTTCCTTATCAACCTATCAACTTCATCACAAATATAAAAAGGCAGCTTGGTGAATTGCATTTGAAACGCCGGAATCGTCTGTAAACAGGATTGTGCTAATGTGATTCTACCGGCTAAGGATAGCTGATTAGCTTTCCAACTAGACAGTCTAGTTCTGCTTTTTTCGAGTAGGTCACTATATGTGAGTTTTGTGATCCTTCCATGCAAAACAGGCGACCCAAGATACTTTCGTAGGTCGTTAGTCTCCCCATAGCCAAATTTCTCGCTAATAGACTTCTTGAGGTGTGCAGGGGTATTCTCCGAGAAGAAGATTTTGGTCTTTTGAGAGTTAATCTTCTCCCCTGAAGCCCTGCAAAACTCAGACAAAACCGCTTGCATTACATGTACCTGTTCATCAGACACTTCCGAAAACAAAAACAGATCATCTGCAAAAAACAAGTGCGAGATTATAGGACCATTTCCAATACATATTCCTTTCCAATGCCTACTATCAACTGCTACTGATATATTATGAGCTAAGATTTCCATACACAATACAAAAAGGTAAGGGAAAGGGGAGTCTCCCTGTCTTATTCCTCTAGACGGCTGAAACTGTCAGATACTCCGCCATTCCAAAGAACTCTCATTGTAGCCGTAGAAATACAATGTTTGACCAGGTCCACTAGCTTCCTAGGGATCCCTGCCTCCAGAAGTGTTTTCGCGATGAACTCCCAGTCCAGACGGTCGTAAGCTTTCTCTAAATCTATTTTGATGGCCATCCAACACTTTTTTCCTTTTTCAGCCTCATAGAATGAATGACTTCCTGGACAATCAGCGTGTTATCTACCAATTTACAGCCTGGAACAATGCTCGTCTGAGTCTTGCTTACCAACTTTCCCATGATTGGCCTCAATCTATTCGCTAGGAGCTTAGTAATGACCTTATATATTACTTTACACAAGCTGGTGGGCCGCATTTGAGTCAACGGAGTAGGATGCTTGGTTTTCGGTATTAGGACTAATAGTGTTTCATTAATCCTTGTTGGTATATTCCCATCCTAAAAACATTTTATAACAAAATCAGAGACACTTTGCCTAATTATGCTCCACTGTGACTGAAAGAATATTGGACTCCACCCATCGGAACCCGACGCTTTATAGGCTCCCATGTCAAACACTGCCTTCTTAACCTCCATGGCTGTTACTGGCCTTGCTAAAGGTGCTATCTCCCCTTCACTTAGCCTTGGGAACCTGGAAAACCACACTACATTCTCTCTCTCCGATGTTTCTTTAGAAAACAGTTTCCGATAAAACTCAAAAGCCATATTCTTCAACATATTCTGATTCTCGAACCATTCCCCCTCTTCGTTCCGAAGTCTCTCTATTTTACTCCGTCTTCTTTTATTCAGGGTACTTAGATGAAAGTACTGAGTATTCATGTCTCCAACCAGAAGCCACTTGGTTCTAGATTTTTGAAACCATAAAATTTCTTCTTGCACTAGAGTTTCTTCCAACTCCATCTGTATCGCATCCCTTTGTCTTCCAACATATATTAGATTATAGAGGCTGCTATATATGCCACAAGTTTGACTTCCCGCACTGTAAAATTGGACATCCACTAACTTCTATGCCTTCTAGACCATCATCAATCTCGCCACATTGAGCAACATCAACAGATTGTATACGTTAATTTACTTCTCAGCCTCTCAAGATATACCCCAAGAAAATCATTGATTTGATACAATCAAAATACTACTCACATTATATATCTTGTGATGGTAAATATCTGGTTTTACGGAACGTGGGAATAACTAATGGCTTATAGACTACTTTTTCTTGGTATAAGCAGTAGATCGAATTAAACCAAAGACTAATTATAATTTTAAGTAGATATGAAACACCAGTTCACAAAAAAGTAAATCCGATATAAAACACCAATAATACTATGCTTCAATCACGTTTTACGACAATCGATGAAATATGCATGATGATAATCTTTTGAGTTCTTTTGAGTTTGATGCTAATTAAGCTAAATAATCTGCCACAATTAACGTCTAAGTTTCCCCAGGGCAACCTTTGGCTTTACTTTCAGCCTTTGATATGCCCATTCAAATGGCATATTATTTTTTTTCACTTTCTTGGTAAATGCATTTGTCCGAAAATCATGCATGCATGCATGCATAGTTATTATATGAAGTATGAACACGTAGAGATCTAAACAGTATTTACTTCCCGATCTTTCACTTATAGATTTTTTAGTACTCTCTGTTGATGTTAAAATGCATGAAAAGGGGTCTAAAGGAGTCTGTCGGCTACACCTAAATTTTCCTTTTTGAGTGATTGACTTAGCACTTGAGGGGGTGATTATCATGAATAGTAACTCAATTAATGATATTTTTATGCAGCTACCAGAAGTACCGATTAGGAGAATATGCTCTAGAAAGCTTCGCAATATGCCGCAGTGTAAATTTTAATTTTGTTTTTTTACAATCAATTCAATAACGAAGACAGGAATATGGCGAATACAAAAGGCAATCTTCCGACAAGAACGGATAATGACGCCTTGAGTCCTATTGATAGCGTTCTTGTAGGAGAGGCAAGGAAAATTCGTTGTAAAAATTGGCTTATATATCAAGTATCACTCTTTTTATTTTAATATATTATATATTTGATGTTCGAAATTATTATTTTGACTAATCTAAAATTCGAAAGTAAAAATATTTTCATGTGGGAAAGAAAAGTTATGATAAAATGTTGGACCGCGATAGTGGGGAAAATGAGGCATGACTTGGCCCCATTTTACATGTAACATCATCTTATCCAAACTGTATTTAATATTTTGCCGGGCTGCTAAGGCCGCCGACACTTGGCGGTTCGGAGGATAATATGGTGGCACGGCATCTTCTTTTCTTTTTTCCTGGTTCTCTTCTTCTTTGACCAAAAAACGTAGTACGGATTAATGCGAATTGTGCAATAATGCAATCCAGTAGTGCCTTCATTGACTGGGAATTATCACACGTCTTTTAGGATTTTCCACTGTGGCTGCTCCAAAAGAACATATATATAGAAAGGACCACGTAAAGTTTGCAAGTGTTTTTTTTTAATTATTATTATATAGATGGCCTGTAATAAGTTGTAAAATTCCCTCAAGAATTAATTAACACGTAACGCGATAATTGTATCTTATAGTATTATTATTCAAAAGTTAGAAATTTTGAAAGCTGCATGCATCCAATTGATGAAAAACTAATGGCCTTGTGCTTGGCCAAGGGACATCCCAAAGGATGTATTTGGGAACTGTTAGCGATAGAATAGATCAGTCATAATCAAACAAATTTATCCTGAAATAAATTGGGCAGCAAACATTTTTTTTGCGCACTAGCTAGACTGTGCGATGCAAACTTGGACATAATCTTTGGTAATATACGGTTAATTATACTTGCATATTTCTGTCACGTAAATGTCTAATACAGATCGAAATTACGTTCACTGTTAACCCATGCATGCAAGTTGGTGTTAACATAATGGTTGATTGACATGCATGGTATATTTAAGTGGGAAAATTTTTAAAAAGGGCATCATTAATGGTATATTTAGTATTATTGATATGGGCATCATTAATTAATTTTTATAATTTTTGTAAATTGGATAAATATAACTACAATTTTCTAATAACTTAGAAGACATAGCCTTCGTCTCACCAAACATTAATTTAATCCATTTTTCCTTTTTCCCCAGTAATCGACATGTCTCAACAAAAAAGAAAAAGAAGCAAAAACAGCAATCGGTGTAGCGGGGATGATCCCATTATCTTTCATCTCTCAATTTAGAGTTTTAGCCTAACTTAATGAATTAAACATGTTGAATGAATATGTCTCATATTCCCTTGTCCCACATGGATAGAAGGAAACACTTGAACTAATTGAACTCAACATATATGACACATGTGCTACTCCCCTCATCACTAATTGGTTTTGAGGTGTAATCATATGTGGGCCTATATTTGGGCCTTCAAGAAAATCATTCAATTCGAGTGGTTTTTTTTTTATTATTTCCTTTTCAAATTAATTTTAGTTATCTTAATTCTTGAGTTTTAAAAATGAGAAAACATGATGAGAGTCATAACTTTTAATAGAAATTTGTAACTTTAAAACTTTTAGCATGTGTGTAACAAGATTTTTATTGCTCTGACTATTTTTTTTATTTTTATTTTTTTTTTTGAAAAAGGTACCTGAAATCACTGCTACTTATAAGTTAGTTCAAGTGAAGGCAATTTTATTTTATTTTTAATCAATTTTGTGTCGTGACATAGAAAATCCAGCAGGCCCTTCATAATCCTACAACAATGTCAGCAAATGAATAAAAATTGCTAGAATCGTAGCTTGAAGAAACTGATTGAGGAGGCTACTTTAGGGGAAGAAAATGAAATAAAATAATTGTAGTCAGTTTGTTTCTGGTTGCAAATAGGATAAATTTGTCATTTGTAATATTAAAACTATTTTAACATTCATACTGTGATCATAAAAATGGTGATGCCCTTGAGAATAATATTTATCTTTCATGTGCCCTTTTTAATAATTCTCCCTATTTAATTTGTATCGACATCAGTGTAAATGTTAGTAGTTTGTTGGTGTAAAAAACCGTGTAATATCATTCTCAAAGAATGCTAATGTAGTACTACTATTATATGATCAGTTACTTATCTCTTACATAGGATACGTACTCAGACAAGCGGAGCCAAAGATTTGATACATGCCTGCAAGCTGTTATCGGTAGAGAAATGTTACTACCAATTACTCCGTGGGCGTCTGAGTAGGTATAGTTTGATTAATCTCAATCACATACGTCTCTATAGTTTGAAAATGGTGTCCGTGGGTGTCACTTTCTAAGGAGAAATAATATTGTCATTAATATACACAAGCACCCAAATTGTATACATTCTGATGAAAATTTAGAATGAAATGGAACATGGATAGATGAAAAGACAAAATCACTGTACTTTGGACAATAACTAATTTAGTGATGAATATTTAGCTTTCTTAAAGATTTTTTTTTTTTACCTCGTATAACATCAGGCATTACAATCTAATATAAGGTGATATATTATTATCAACTCGACTATATTAATCTTATGATATGTAGGTAGGTATCCATTTTGGTGTTTACGAGTCAAATGTTAAAAACAAAACTAGATTAAAAAAGATCACAACAAGAAATACTAATGGTTTTAATCCGAGTGGTAGAACCTCCCAATGTAATTTACTGAACTCATTATGGGTGTCTGCCTGAAACTTTGTTGACAGCAGGAATGTTCCTCAGTAAACGATCCCAGTATTAATATTATTATGATGTGAACAAAATTATTTGAAAATATTCCTCGAATCTTCTTCAATAACTAACTATTAAACGTTTTTTTTTTCTTTGTGTAAAGAAAAAACCTGGCGGACATGTTATTTTCAAAAATAAAATACAAGTACGATACGTCATGCATTACCGCATTACGTATAATACATGAAATTGTTTGCTTTACTTTGTATTTTTTTCAATTCATTTACAATTGCATCTTCATCTGAAATTACAGTAGATTTCTACACAAGAAAACATTTCGGATGAATAGTTCAAAACGCGCAAACATGTAACATGACTCGTTTTAGGACAAACCAAAAAATTTAAACATCGGAGTCTCACTCTTTTTCTCCTCACAATGAAGGAGGTGAATCTCTTTAAAACATCAACTCAATATACTAGGTTTAGCGAGAAGACTTGCGCAAAATTACCTGCTTGATGTAAGTTAAAGCAGTATTCTCCTCAATCAACAATGTCAAATTAAATAATTTAATTACTTATTAAATTTTCTTAAAAGTTAAACCATATTCTTAAAAAAAAAAACGGCCGATTAACTTCAACACGTAAAGCAAAAACATAAGACAGGTACCATAAAAGGAAGTGTTACAAAACATGAGATATGTACTCTACTATCATTTTTGCTTGATATCCTTACACATTTAACGAGTCGCAAAATGCACTTGTTAAAATAAAACAGTGACTTTGAATAGCAGTTGTTTTTTACATACCGAAAAAAGGTCGAGTTGGTGCAATCAATCAATCGATCAAATATGATTAAGGCTATTCCCCTGTACGTAGTTTATCAAAAATCTCCCCTCTTTGTCAAACTCCATCTGCGTGGGACCCATTCGGCTGATACTATTCGTTCTTCCCAACCCAGGTGTCAACATTGACTATTCAAAACCCCACTGTTTCAAAAGACTTTTCAACCACTGTGGTTGGGGTGTCAGATTGGAATGGATTCTTCCACCCTTAATCATAGTTCGATGGTTCAAACTTTGTCATGGACATAGAGTAGTCTTAAATAATTTGTCCAAGTGTCCCTTCCATCGAGCTACCTACAATTCATCGAAGAAATTAGTTACGAGAAAGATTAATCACTGTTGCCGACAATAGACACCCTACCAATATGAAAAAAAAAAAAACACTTTTCAACGCAACATTGCAACAACGCTATACAAGCTTCCAGGCTCCTAGCCTTTCCACCCAAAACCAAAAACCTATAAATACCACACCAAAGTTTTAATCCATATCCAATTATTCATCCCAACTCTTCTTTTCACTTCTACTTCAATGGCGTCCATTTCCTTTCCATCCTTCTCAGTGCTTTTCAGCACATTCCTCTTCCTGTTTCTTCATGCTTCAATTGTCGCCGAAGGTCAAGTTCCAGTCAACGAGACCTTCAAAGTAGTCAACGAAGGAGAATTCGGCGATTACATCACCGAATACGACGCCAGCTATCGCCTCATCGAAGTCGACAGCCTGTTTGCGTTCCCCTTCAGGCTCTGTTTCTACAACACCACTCCCGGAGAATTCGTCCTCGGAATGCGCGCCGGGCTTCCGAGGGACGAGGACCTCATGCGTTGGGTCTGGGACGCCAACCGGAACCGACCCGTCAAGGAGAACGCCACCCTCTCCTTCGGCCGGGACGGGAACTTGGTGTTGGCGGAAGCCGACGGCACCGTCGCCTGGCAGACCAACACCGCCAACAAGGGCGTCACCGGAATCAGGATGATGCGCAACGGTAACCTCGTGTTGTTCGATAAAAACGGCAAGTTTGTCTGGCAGAGCTTCGACCATCCCGTGGACACGTTGTTGTCCGGGATGTCCGTCAGGACAAAGCTAATTAGCCGAACTTCTGATTCCGATGGCCGTGACGGGAAATACAGCCTCGTGGTGGATCCAAAGGGGCTGAATTTCTACCTGAACAACGCCGGGAAGCTTGTGAGATACAATGGGTGGGGAACAGAGCAGGATAAAACTCTGGTTTCGATGCTGTTCAAAACAGAGCCAATTGACCAAGACCCCAAATCCGCCGGTTGGGAGCTTCTGATTGAACCATTCTACAAATCCACAAGCCCGCCGGCGCCACAAGCTCCCCGAAGGGGACTCCTACAATCATTCCCAATCGGGTCAGGAAATGCCCTGATTCTTCGGAAACTGAATTACAACGCGTCGATTACGTACCTCCGGCTCAATTCCGACGGCAATGTGAAAGCCTACACTTATTTCAACGACGTCCCGTACTTAAAATGGTCAGAAACTTTTGCGTACTTCTCGGATTACTACGTCAGAGAATGCGGGTTGCCGGAGAAATGCGGGTCACTGGGATTATGCCAAAGGGGAATGTGCATTGCGTGTCCCACACCAAAGGGTCTTCTGGGATGGAGCGAAACTTGTTCGCCGCCGGCGTTGAAGCCGTGCTCGGCCAAAGGTAATAAGGTGGATTACTTCAAAATCGATGCGGCGGAGCATTTCTTGAACCAGGATTCCACCGGAAACGGTGAAGGCCCGACGTCGCTGGAAGCATGCAGAGATAAATGCACAAAAGATTGCGGGTGCAAAGCGTTTGTGTATAAGCAAGATATCAAGAAGTGCTTGAGGGTGCCGGTGCTCGGAACTTTCATCAAGGACACTAATACTTCTACTGCTTATATTAAGTATTCACTCTAGGCTGTGTCTATCTTTTTCTCTTTTCCTGCATGATTTTTCTGTGTGTTTTGAGTTGCAAGTGACGAATAATTTAGTGTTATCCTTTTTATTATTTTTTTTCCTTTCTTTTTTTTTTTTCACCTTCTTGTAATCAATAATTATGGCCATGCATGAAGCATGATCTGGTAGAGAAAAGGAATAAAAATCTGTGTAATTTTTTATTTTTATTTTTTCAGGATTCATCCATCTATCATATCTTTTAAGTTCAACTTTGTGAAGTGACTTGCCGACATTGAATAAAAAGACTCTTTACATCTGTTTCATTATCCATCAATCTATTACTCTATTTATTTCAAAATGATTGGACTTATAATTAATATACTAAATATAACAACAAATATAATAATAATTTTAAAACGGAGAAATTATATTTTTATTTTTATTTTTGTGATCTATTTTCATTAAGTCACCTAATTGATTTTTTCTATCTGAAAATGATTGTACAGTTAGACTATTTATTTTTAATATAAACTGTATAATTAATGAAAGTTCAAACAAAATACTCATTTTGAAACGGACGCGGTACACTATGTTTTTGATTAGCAAATAGCTTAAATCTGCTTTCCATCGATTAAAATAAAACAGAAGATATTTTATCCAGTTTCTAACATGTTGGATACTGGATAGATATTTTTGCTCATTTTAGGGATCAGGATCTCGAAGAGGTGGGCTAAAAATTTGTCCTTCGGGGTCCAGCATCTTCTTTTGTGGACACTGAATTTGGGAGTCCTTGATGTATCACAATAAATTCCAGCCGTTGTCCTCAACGAACTTCATGATCTTTTTGTATGAATTATTTGGCGATAAAAGATATTTCCTTCATTTCATTTTAACTAGTACTACACTTTAGATATTATTTTAATTCAATAAAATAAAAAATAAAGCAGAAGTAATAAGACAAGATGTGATTTATGTTATAGGAATGATGATACTCCACCCATTAAATAATTAAATCTTACATATCTAGAAGTCACCGCATACAACCATTAAATTATTGAATGAACCATTTGGCCAATTGAAGGATAAAATCTATAATATTTAATTAAAGCAGTATATAAGTTGCTGATGTGTCAGCACCACAATGAAAATTTTCCTGCCAAAAGTCATTTTCAGTACAAAATCATTTTTGACATGTGACACTCTAACTATTCAGAAAGAAAAAGATGGAATAAATAAATAAATAACTTCCTTAATTATAACTCCATACTAATCCCTTAATTATAACTCCATACTAATTCCTTAATTATAACTATATACTAATCACTCAAAATAAGAAACTTGAGTTGATAAAATCAAATGTAAAAAGATCTCCTTAAATCACGTGAAATATTACTGTGAGTAAAGTCTCCTCAATCTTCTTAAATACAAAATGGTTAAATGAAAATTGGCTCCAGCATATAATTGGCTCAATCAAATATATAATACCTCAATCAAGTATTTTTGCTCAATGTAGTACAATTGGCTCAATGAAAATGAAGGTGATCCCCTTAATATGTTTGCTCCAGCAGATAATTACCTCAATCAAGAAGACATCAATCCTTAAAATTTGACTGAAAATCTAGCAACAAGAAAATCAAGGAAATTCCATCATGCTATCACGGGAGATCAATATCGGGGGAGCAAAAGATGATCAGCTCCATTATGGCAATCAGGATATTGTATCTAAGGATTCTACCACCGAATATTTATTTGTTAGTTTAAGAGATATTATCTCAATAGTAATTTGTTATTAGCGAAAGGGCATGACCCGGGGGTGAAAACCAAAAGTTTTTTTTTTTTTTTATACAATTAGAATTGTATTAAAAAAAATTGTTATTTACTTATATGTACAAAATTTCACGTTATCATGATCTGTGTTGTAATATTATATTATACATATTAGTACTCTAAAATATATTTTTTCACTTATAATTTTTTTATTTAACAATTTTAAGATACAGACACCCCGAGCATTGGCCCGGCGCAAGCATGCATCTAGTAATTCTTATATGTCATCCACATATACATGCGAAAAAAACATTTTGGTTCTATTATTTTTTTACCATGTTAAATTCCTCTAGCAAAGATTTAAAAAAGGCTATCTATTTTAGCGTTTACATCACAAATCATTTATTTTTACCGAATAGCTTTCTCTGCCAACATCATTACGCATAAAATCATGCACCAACGTGAGAATTTCTTAGTAAGATCCTCTTCAAACAACATTACTGAAAGTATCAAAGACTCAACCCATAAAAATGACTCATATTTACTCAGTTGTTCCCGTAATAAAGGAGGAATGGGCTGAGTGTGCTAACAAACAAGAATGGATCACACGATTTGAGGCCCTGTAAAAGGCTAACAGCCTCACATTCAAGTACCACGTCCTCGAGATAGTCCATATTGCTTAATTCCTCCTCCAAGAGAAAGAAAAAAAAAAAGAAGAAAGATAATTGTTTCATAGTAAGCTGTATTTTATCTTCTTAATTGAAGATGATTTATGTGATTGGAAGGCGGATTCATCCGGCTAAAGTAGAGAACATTTTGAGTTCTGTATAAGCCGTCATGGTCACTATAGGAAATTAGGAAAGAACATGTATGTAATGTAAGGTAATAGCGGACCAAGAGTCAAATCATGTTTCACCAAGGTTAAAAAAAGCAAAAAGAAAGTAAGGATTCTTCTGGTAATTATGGCTCTTTCGACCACAGAGAGATTTCCATGATCTGCCCTTTTTTCAAGAGTAATTTCCATAAGCTACTCCGCATCTAAGTCTTGTCTAGAGCTTGTTTAGTATCCTTAACAACCAACATGTACACTAAACCGAGTATAATTAAATCATGCGAAATTCACATACTAAGAAACATGAGGCCAACACAATGTTGTATTAATGTTACCTCAAAAGATCTTCAATGATTCTGTAACTCATCATTAACATTTTTCTGTCTCCATCTGGTATTCTGGCGAGCCACATATAAGTTGCCTATGTGTAGTTCCCTTTTTGGATCGATTCATGGATTGAATATATTTGAATCCAATCTATAACTAATAGAATGAGATCGAGAATGTATGTAGGCCAAGTATCGAAAACGAGAATTTTTGATTTAGTTATAGGTTTGAAATGTGATTTAATGGAGATTGAAGATGTTATATATAGATAATATCTTCAAATAAAATAATTTTTGTTTTTCCATCATCACTACATCGCCACCAGCTGCTGGAATACCGCTAGCCAGCGACCATAATCCGGTGGTCCAGCCAACTTCCGGGCAAGTTGGTCAGAATCTTGTGGCACGACGGTGGCAGGTTGTGGTCAACGGCGGTGATCATGGTCTGGTGATGGTGGTCGTTGAATATAAAGTAAAATATTTTTTAAAATATGAATTAACTTGTGCGGATAGTGTTATGTTTTGTTTTGTGTTTAAATATACATGTTCCTAACAGTTGATAATTATAAACCGGGAATATGAATTCAAAAGATCTTAGGAGCTGTTTGTTAGCCAGGAAACGGATTCAAGGAATGGGATTCAAATCTATAATGATGTTTGGTAGCTTGGAAACGGATTCAGGGAGTCGGCTGAATCCCATAGAATGAATCATCTCTTCCCCCTGTCATTCAAATTGAATCCCGGCCTTTTAATCATTATTTTCATTTTCTTTAATTTTTAATTCTCTTTTCCTCTCTTCACTTCCTCTTCTCTTCTTCTCTCCCTCTCCTCTCTCCTGTATTTTTCATCGTCTCTTCATCAAAAACAAATCTATAAGCTAATCTCTGAACTTTTGTCTTTTAATTTGACAATCAAAAAACAACTATAATTTGTTCTACGCTGTCCACCCCCAATTCCCTTATTGAAATTTCCATTTCCCCTGCTTTGGAGCTCGCCAAAGATCCATGGGAAGATTTTTAGTTTTATCTCTTTGGTATTTTCACTCTCTGCTTTACTTCAGGTGGGTTGAGAAGAGTTATAATAAATAAAAGATGCAATGGAGGGGATGTATTTCGGAAGGAGATGCACTTGTTTTTTGGGGGAAAAATGCAGACGGCGACTACTGGTCGGTAGATTTGGAGGAGGTTGGCTGTTGGTGGGTGGTTGTTGGCTCGTGAATTTCGGGGATTGGAGGGGGTAAATTTATGGATTTTTTTTGTTGAAATTTTGATTTTTTTAAAAAAAGATTCTGGAAAATTAATTAATCAAATAAAAGAAATATATAAATCCATTCCAATCTTTACAACCAAATGTTATTGGATTCATGAATCCATGAATATTTTGAATCCAATCCGCCATCATTCAAATCCAATTCTGAATTCGTTTCCACGTGACGAAACAAACGCCTCCTTAATGTATTGCTCCTTGTTACATTTCAATAATTTATTTAGTTAAACTGATATAATACGATAAAATGATTTTTTTTTTGAAGGTATAAAATGAAGTTTTTAAACATGACCAATAAATTACTCCTTTTTTCCCCCTTTTGTTTAACGTCTGGTGTAGCTTTTTTTTTTCTTTTTTTTTTTAAATGTAAAAATGTCATAATCTAATCAACGAGTTCTTACTAATCATTTTGTTATCTACTAACTTATACTCCGTCCGTCTCATAATTATTGTCCAGTTTGGATTTTCATTTCTAGTTCAAATTGTACTAAAAATAAAAATTTCAAACAGGACAATAATTTTGAGACAGAGGGAGTATAAAATAAAGTCACTTTATCAACTGTTGAAGTCCTAATATGTTAAAACAAAAAAAAAATAAAAATAAAAGAAGAGAGAGAATAATTTATTTTTTTCAAAAAATAAAATCTATAAGAACGTAAATTAGAAAAGCGGCCCAAAATTTGAATGAACGATCCGGAGCATCACCTCAGTGCTAAGGCGAATAATTGGGTAAGTCATTGTTCTTGTAGCGCACTATATAGCTAGCAGATGATTTTGAAATCTTTGTAACTTAGCACCATTTTGGAAAAGATAATTTGTCCATAAAAATACAGACCAATCTGGCCTATATATATAATTTGGTTACGTTGGAGAGAAGTGTATTATTCGCCTTTCAGAAAACCAATTTTGATACCATTACTTTTTCCACAACCCTTCACTGTTTGATTTTGTTGCTGCTGGTATTTGACATATATATATATACTTATTACTACAAAACAACAAATCCAATCCCCACTTTTACCTATTTTTTCACAATAAAGTTGCCAACAAGGTAAGCCCCTCAAAGTGATACTGATCTAATCTCCATAAATCACATCACGAATAATTTCTTTTCCTTTTTTTTCTTTTTCACGCAGTCTATCACTATTGACTCGACATGATCCCAAAAAAAGTTGCTACAAAAATATTGAGATTCAGAGCCGTGTCGACTATGAAGATGTGACAAAAATATACGTTAATCGCTGCTATAATTCGTATAGAAGAAGAGTTAACATTGTTGAGGAATTCAGGTGATAGAAGAAATTGATGGATTTTGCCATAAGCCTAAACCCAATAGATATTTTCATGGAAGAGTGATGATGAAGACATTGAATGGGTGTGAGGGTTAGAGATATAGAGCGGGAGATTGTTTTCGTCAAGAAGTCGGTGGTGTTTAAATTCCTATTTTAGGGGTAAAATATTTTAGATTCAAAATACACATATGTTTTGAATTGAAAAAAGTTTAAAAATGAGATAGTATACCGTACTCATCGCAACATGAAAAAAGTCAACGGCATATATTCCTTCTGTCTCAAAATTATTGTCCAGTTTGAGATTTAATTTTTAGTACAATTTGAACTAAAAATGAAAACTCAAACTGGACAATAATTATGGGACTGAGGGAGTATACATATGTATATATATAAACTTTTTTAGTACAAATTGAACTGAAATGAAAATCCAAACTGGACAATAATTATGGGATGTGGGGAGAACTAATTAATAACGTTAATGCAAAATGATTAAAAACAAATTACGTACATATATATATATATACATATGTATATATATATATATATATATATATACTTTTTTGTACGAATTATCATTTCATATCTGTTGTTCCATGCTCTCCTATTTCATTCTTAATGTACAAAATGACTTTTCAATGATCAATCAAAGATAGTACTTAATAAATATGAACAAACAGTCAATAATGCAAAGCGGGTAGTTAATTTGATAAGTCCATTTTGATCCATTGCATGCATTTTTACCAACCATCTCCAACCCGTTTTCCACGTCAATCATTTAATTTCATTTTATTATAACGTATTACTTTTGTATCAAAAAATAGTTCACGTTAAATTTTAAAATTTTTATACCAAAAACGATACAAATTCGAAAACTAAATGTGGATTAAATTTTTTAAAACAGAGAAAGTATAAGATATAGCAATAATATAGATGATGCAAAATGAAATATTTATATTGTATCAACACCATTTGTCTGAATATAATACTACAAAAGAGATAATCATGGTAAGAAGGAATTAAAGAATAACAAAAATTAAGCTCACTCATATATGGCACTAATCACATCACGTGACACAAATTGTACGAACAAATTGACTAAGGGTGGTTGAGATGGACAACCAAGAGAAGTATGCATGCACCCAAAATTAGAAGTGACAAGTAACATTAGCTTGAATGAAGGAGACATGGAGTTAGGGGCAAAAATGACACTTCATACATTTTGCTATTGATTTCCAGAAAAAAAAAAACACAGAAAAAATAAACCCATTGTCCCAACAAAGAAAACAACCCAAAAAAAAGAAAAATAAATAAAGAAAAATAAAAATAAAAAGGAAGTCACAATCAAAGGATACAATAGAATCGTCTGATGGTTAAGCATTATCACTAGTGTTTAATTTATTATACTGATGGAATGACTCTATTGACAATTAAAAACCTAGGAAAAATACACATAGGGTTAAAATTGACAGCTTATTTTTTAAATATTTAAATATGTAATCCAATTACAATCAATTTTGTGGAAGCAAGTGGAAGCAATTGATTTTGTCTAGCATTTTAATATTGTTTTTTTGGTAGATAATGTGATTTGGAGTTCTAAATGTGATTCATTGATTTGTTATTGTGGTACTAATAATTCAATGTCCATATTATATAGGCAAAATCTGCGATAGTCAACCAAATCTAACTATGATTATGAAACATGCCTACCCCTAAACTATTCAGTCAAATGCCCAAAAAGAGGGCTTTAAGTGATTTTTTTTTTTCAACATAGATTTTTTTTTATAAAAAAACTTTCTACGTAAAAACCAGCTAGGGCATAAATCTAGATACTAATAAATTACGCACACAAATGTGCATAGCTTTATCCGTTATCCATTGAAACACATTTACCTACTTACTCTCGTACCAATAAAACTTTCATAATTGTATTATTTTAGTTTTACAAATAAAATCATTTTTTTTCTGTTCAGGTACGCCATTAATCATGACATGTTTTATGTTGTGGGTTTTGGTTGTTTCGTTAAATCGGCTGTGCATTTTTCTTTTCAAGGAAAAAAAAAAGGTATATGTAAATGCAATAATTTAAGTCGACAGTTGAGAATCTAGTCTGAAGTAACAAAAAAATAATAAATAAATAAAAGTCATGGAGAGCTATCAAATCATTTCATAAATTGAAAAAATGTATTGATTCAGAAACTTTAGCCATCGCTGGAAACAAGGGTTAATTATTACAATTAACAACTACTTCAAACCTTGCTTTCAAACTTTTCCCAGATTGATTGATTCATTAACTAAAGTTATTTAACGTTTGACATTTCTCCCGCCCGTTAATTCTGGAAGGTAGAAACCAATATTTAACATTTACATGTCTTGCATTTGTTATACGCACTAAGTTTAATTTTACTTTAAACTCGTTTATGGTGGATTATTGATATTACAAAATAATACTCTCTCTGGTTCTTAATATAAGGCATTTTGATTTTGTCCTAAGTTTCATCTAATATGCATTTTTAATTGACGGAAAAATCTTAAACATATGTTTTCACATTTGTTGTATTCTCTTGATTGTTATGAAATATTTTTAAGGTTTTTTTAGTCAATTAAAAATATGTACTAGATTAAACCTAGAACAAATTAAAATGCCTTATATTAAGGACCGGAGGGAGTACAAAATTTATATAGCTCACTTTATATGTCTTGTTATTACTTTGTAAAAATATAGAAAAAATCAGACCTTATCAAGACATAAATATCACTCGTGGTCTCATAATAAAAATAAGTTCAATGTCATGATTGTTATTAGTCTAAGGTTATACATATTTTAATATTTTCCTAGTTGAAAAATCGTTTAATGTCTCAAGGAAAACTATGGTTGATGTGAATTTTTGAAGAGCTTAATGTAGAAATTAACTAGGATAAAAGTGAATATTAATATATAGTACTTTTTTTTTGGATATTAATACAGTACTATTATGAATTGTCCTTTCCGATCTATTTTAATGATCTAATTTATAGAAACACAATATAACAAAGAGAACTATTACAATTAGACAATCTATAAAATTCTACATGTGAAATAGAACATATTTTCTGACGGGCATTTGTCAATGTTCTCACTTAGAACACCGGATAATTCATGTACCCAATATATATATATATATATATATATATATATATATAAGGAAGAAATAAATAGAAATTGGTTGTGTAAAATGTGCCATTAGTTAGTCATTTCAATGGACCTAATTAATTTACTGAGCACTTAATTAATTACCCATAGCATAGTATATATGCACTACAAATTGGCCAATTGGAACCTAGCTAGGTTGATGATCAGTGTAAAACTTTTCTTCAAAATCGTGGTTAATTAAGTAAAAGGAATTTCTTCATTAAACATAAACCACTACTACTTCCAAAACATCTCTCATTATCTCCACTAACTATGATATAGATACAAAATAATGCTATGCTATAGACTCATTAATTTAACTATGGTTAGCTTAATTTAGGGGGTCAAGTGGCTACCTATGGTCACTATAGGGGTGTAAAATCATAGTGCCAAATTTTGCTAATATCCTTGACAATGATTGCTTTTATGATGCCCAGTACAATTATATTAAAAAATATAGAAAATTGTTGAAAAAAATTTAGTTGTTAATTACTTAATCCCATTATAGTACCCATTAAAGGGAAGGAAAAATTTATGTGATGAATGAAGAAAAAGAATAGCCAAAGCACTTTCCTTTGGTCCCATTCCCATACCAATGTCTCCTCAAGCAGCCCCATGATTTGATTTCCTTCTTTCTCCACTTCTCCATCATCACTCCTCTCTTCCTTCTCCGCTCCACAACCTTCTTCAAAAAAAAAAAAAAAAATCAGAAAAAAATCCCAAATTAAATTCTGGCTCCTCAAAATCTTAATTTCATCTTCATCCTAGCTAGCTCAATTATCTAGCTGAATTTCAAAAAAAAAAATGATGTCTAGTCATCATGATAATAATCATCAAGGAATTATAAGAGAAATTGGAGAAGGGTCATCGTCCTCGACGAGATCCGCTTCTTCCACAATACTATCAACCCATGGACCTCATCATGATCAGCATCAGCAACAGCAACAGCACCAGCATCTCCCACCACCGGCTCAACCGGCTCAGTTGAGCCGGTACGAGTCGCAAAAGCGTCGAGATTGGAACACGTTCGGGCAATACCTAAGGAACCAAAGGCCGCCGGTCCAATTGTCGCAGTGCAACTTCAACCACGTGTTAGATTTCCTAAGGTACTTGGATCAATTCGGGAAAACTAAGGTACACTTACAAGGTTGTGTTTTTTTTGGTCAGCCAGAACCAGCTGGACCCTGTACTTGTCCTTTGAGACAAGCTTGGGGAAGCCTTGATGCTCTCATTGGACGGCTCCGAGCTGCTTACGAAGAAAATGGCGGCTTGCCGGATAAAAACCCTTTCGCCAGCGGCGCGATTCGGGTTTATCTCCGGGAGATAAGAGACTCTCAGGCTAAGGCTCGTGGGATTCCTTACAAGAAGAAGAAGAAGAAGAAAATCCCTGTCAAAACTGAGAGCTCCAATTATTCATGAGAGATCCATCTTTCTGGAGATTGCTCTTTTTGCTGGCCGGTGATCGTCATGGTAATCCATCAAAAACAAAAAAACATTTTCATGCCTAAATATATAATATGAATGTTAATTTTAATTTCTTGTCTTAGTTTTTGTTTTTTTTTCGAAGAACTTATTATGGATTTTTACAATTAATGGGAATTTTTCCATCTCAATAACTTCAGCTAGCATCATGAAAATGCATGCTTTTGAATACTAGTACTGTAATCAAGTATCTATAATTTCAGCAATGATGAATGAGTTTTTGGTTATTTTTCTGCTCTTATTAATGGGTCAATTTGAAGTATAGTTTCTTCCTGAGTTCGTCTTACTCTATGTCTGGAACATGGGCAATCATGAAAATGTGGAGTATAGATGAGGGAAATCGTTTGAAAACCCTAATTCTGTAATGAGGGTTGTTATATTAGCATTGATTTTGAGGGAAGAATCTATCTACGTTCCTTCTTTGTTGCCATATACACTGACCTTCTACGCTTATATATGTTACCCTTTTTTCTTTTTTTCACCTTCCCCAATTTTTGTTTAATTAATTCCGTGAAGGATTTAATTAATGATGGATTTCGAAATTAAATATTTGGGAATTAGATCTAAAACGTCTTTTTAAGCTTTGTCTCTTCTATGATTCTGCACGATCAGTGGTTTCCATGGGTGGCCATTAATTATGATAAGCCTATAATATTATTACATGGCCACACTTTGTTTCTTCTTCTTCTTCTTCCCTTCTTCTTTTCTTTTCTTATTTTTTTTTCAACTATTTTTTTTTTTTTTGGTTATAATTAAGTTTGAAGTACGTACCTGTGATAGGCTACATATAACATGTAATAATCTTTGTTGGTGTAGATGCATAGAGATTACTGATCTTAATTAACCAGACAAGAAGAAAACTTATTCTACCAAAATGCTGTCATGTATGCTATGTAAGTAGGATTTAGTGTCATTTTCTTTGGTGTTTTGTACCTGAATCACATTGGTGTATTTTTGTCGCCTTTTTTTTTTCCTGAAAAGACCAAATATTCTGTCACTTGCAACGGATTACAGTTGGATCAAGTTTCTGTTTTCCAATAAGGCTCCATTAATTACACTTATTTTACACAAATTTGTTAGAAAGATGTACTCCATCTGTCTGCTATTTTTCGAGTTGTTTTGATTCATAGATATCAACCACTTCTTTTGATCCCAAATGCAACATTTTGTAAATCTTTTGGTTTATTTATTTATTTATTTATTTTATTTTACAAATGATTTGTGATATTTTCTTTGTCACTTCTGATGTGTTTGTGTAGATCTTATACGTTTGATCTTATGATCATGGCGTCAAGACTATGAAATAGTATTTGGCGAAGCATGCTTCCATGCATTTGGATGGTAGACTTTCAAGTATAACACAATACTCCTACGCCCCCCTCAAAGAAAGATTTATGCTTGTGTTTTTGAGAAATTATGTTTATTGAACTACAACATTATATGCAAAGATTTTTTTTTTTTGGGGGACAATGGAGCATTAATTTTGCCTATACTAAGACACGTTTGGTCTGTTTGTTTATGATGTATATATACCTGGACTCAGTTTCGTTAGGGTTTCAAATTTTGGTGATCCGTCATCGTCATAGCTTGGTTATATATTAAATTTTTTTTATAGTTTTTTTTTTAAATGAATAAACCAAGGCATATGATTATAAGAAATCGTTTATGGCTACCGGTTTTTTTTGTTTTTTTGTTTCTTTTTTTCTTCTTGCGGGCACAAAGCTATACGGGTTTTGAATGCATGCATCAACGCGGCTCTTTCAGAAAATGGATCGCATTCATATATTTCTCTTCTTCATACCTCTAATTTCCTGTTACGGAAATGACAATGATTTTATTTGCATCTTTTAAAAAAATTCCAGGTCATAATTTATGGATTTTTGAGCCAGCAACACTTATTTTGTTGAAATGGAAAAAAGAAATAATTTATTTTTATAAAAGATTTCAAACCCGGTTTTGGCAAAAATTTGATCAACAGATCAGTTATTCAATATTGGGGATGCAGTGCAAGATATGCAATCATTAATATATTTATTTTGGTGTTTAGCAAAGTACGGTGTTGTGTTGGTGAGTTATATCATACATCAAATCAAGCAACTTTGTGTTATTTTCCTGCCATTAATTCGACTACTAGTGTTGCAATTGTAAGTTGGATATCAATTTTGATTGCACTTCTTTGCTTGAAATTCATGCCAAACTTAGAAATTTTTGTTGTGCGAAATCGATCTTTCAACACCATTTCTAATGTGATAGTGTAAAATTAATACTCGCGTTTGTATCATTTTAATAGTTTTTATTATTTTATTAAATTAGATAGTATTTCATCTAATTTAAAATATATTTTACATTGAGTTTCGACATTTTTATTAGAAAGAGTATTAATTTTAAGATATATGACACAAGAACTGAAATGGCCTATTTATTTCCTTCAGCAAGCACAATTACTGCTGCTAACCCACTACACATTTTATTAGCAGCAACGAAGCGCTTCATAATTTACCAAAGCTATAACGAATTTCTAAGCATTTCACTCTTTCAATTTCTTAATAAATACTTCCATTCAATCCCAAAATAATTATGCATTTTTTTTATTATACTAAAATACTATTATAACAAATTGAAAATTCATTTTTCATGCATGGTTGAGAGAATATACTATACACACAACGTTCGAGTTAATTACTTTAATCGACTCACATTCACGGAGCCAGTAATTAACACTTCATCGAAAATCTCTTTCTTTTCCCCCTTTTTTTTCACGGTGAGTGAATGTCTGTAAGCAATTTTTGAATTTGGAGTACATATATACGAACAAGACTGATGATTGGTGGTTTTCCAGCTGCTATTGCAATAATTAGAAGTTTTGGATTGTTGTTGAAAGAAATTTTAAATGGTTAAATAGGTACAAATTGACAATTCAATTTCGATTACTTGATTTCATGACGTTGGACGATATCATTTGCACGGTTTCATTCGTACAACTTCGTTTTTGTGCAAACTTTTCCTTGTTTCCTGCCTTCCAGATTGCCTTGCTACAGAAATGGCAGCGTCATTTTCATTTTAAAAAAATGGAGAAATGAGAGAGTTGTTACTCAAATTATTTTTACAAAAATTCGTAACTTATGTATTCATAAATCCTACTCCTTCCGTCTCAAAAAGAAAACCTTATCCGTTGAACTAAAACCATTATAGTGAAGAGGATTCTTTACTTTGAGACGGATTACAGGTTAATTAATCCATAAAAGAAAATTCATCTATGTAATTAGTTTTATAGGATGAAAAGCTTAAGATGCTTAATTGCTTATCTCTCGAATAGTTAGTATGTCATAAAATCTTCTTACTAGTTTCTTTTCACTAATGAAGTGAACCATGACATAAATTTTCTTGATAATTTTATTTACATAATAGTTTATTTAGACTTTGTACGTACTAAAGCAAATATTTAATATCTTAAGTCTCATTTATAGAGTATCAAATAATACCTCATTAATAAAATTGAAATGATTTCATTTTACTTAGAACTTAAGTTTTATGTAGTTAGTTTATACATTTTTTTGAAACAGATTAGTGCGAAAACCAGTTAAATATACTCCTTCCGTCCCATAATTATTGTCCATTTTAAGTTTTCATTTTTAATTCAAATTGTACTAAAAGTGAAATCTCAAACTGGACAATGATTTTGGGACAGAGGGAGTACAATTTTCTACTTATTAAAGTTTTAACATACTTCTATTAAATAGAGAAAATGGAGGGACAGTGGTTCAAAATAATGTGAAATTACTGTCTAAACGCAACATATGGTGTGGAACCACCAGAATTTAGGAATTGTTGTCAAATTGTCATCTGTAATCATAGCAGAGACCAGAGAGGCCCTCAAGATCTGGGATCAGTTTTGTGCCATAATCATTCAAAACTAAACTTTCATAGTTTCTAATGGTACACATATGATGCCATTTCCCTCTATTCAAGCAGAAACTCATCCCAAAATTGTATCAAAAGTGAGGTCCACTTCATGGTACACATCAATTATTCCCATCTCCAAAACTTCAACTAAATTTTGTACATAAAATTGTTTCAATCATATATTCCCGGCAAAACTTGAAGCTCTCAACCATTTGTACGACAAGGTAACAATAATGGTCTGAGTTGATCATGTTTGAGCGTTTGTTGTTGTTGTCCCCCACCCCTAGATTTTGATCATATCGTAAACTTCCGTCTTCAAATATAATGTACTCCATCTGTCCTAAAATTATTATCCAGTTTGACATTTCACTTTTAGTACAATTTGAACTAGAAATGTAAATTTAAACTGGACAATTACTTTAGGACGGTGGGAGAAATTAACACTTCAATCCCTTAGTCAGTAAAACACTATTTAATTTCTTCATTTTTACTTTCAAGCACTTGGTTAAATGAATTATATTTATGTGTGGGCACTGCTCATATTTACGTGAAAGTAAAAATTATATCCCAAATTCCCAGTGGTTTGATTCAATTGAAATAGGAATAATACCACTATCAAGAAACAACCGTAGGACCCTAATGGATTTTTACAAGAGGAGAATCTTTTCAACTTTTTCACGATGGAGACCATTGACCTTTATCTAGTTTTTTTCGAATAGGGAAAAAGAGGGAAGAAAATGAATCTAAAAAGGAGGGGCCAATTGCACCTTAAATACTTGGTCCTCAAAATCCTTGTTTAATTTCTGTCACTCAGATGAATCATGAAGGCTTTTTACTAGGGCATTATTATTACATCACCAAACCCCTCACCATACTATTAATTTAAAATAATTGATTTCTCCAGAAAAGAAGAAAAAAAACACAAGAATTAGGACTAATAATAATAATAATAGTTTTAGATAGGGGGTATTATTAATTAATCAATATGATTAGGCTAGTGTTCTTTTTGTCTTGTTCATGTAAATGGTCCACCCAATTTCACCTGGACACAAGGAGGGGAGATACAGTCTACAGAGATGCTAAATTACAAGCCTAGCTTTATCTTTTCAAAAGTACCTTAGCTATTAAAGTTAATTGTTCCTTTGGTGTAAAGTTGATTTAGGAGATAATTAGACCAAGAATAATATCTTCTTTTTGCCAGATTATGACACTAATTATGATGCTTGTACACAACCATATTTTGTCATTTCATTCCCTTAACCACATTTCTAATGACTTTTGAACAGCAACTTTGCGCCTTAAGGACGAACTGTGTATCTAGTATCTACAATGAAGTAATAAAATAATGAAATTTTTATACGTATATTAGGAGTGTATAATGTTTATACAAATATAAAACGACATCGTCTCACTGAAAGCACGAAACTCGGATGAGATTAAAGAATTGGGGCCGTTCTAAAGATGATAATGGATAGTGCAAGTGGATGGTTAAACCAACCATAACCATAGATACTCAATACAAGATTTGCAGAGTTAAAGATTCTGATAAACAGTACAATTACTATAATTCCCCCCAAAACTTGCAACTTTGCTGAACAAACTAGCCGATACCTTACCTTTTATGGAGCTCTATTAAGAATGATAATATGAAGTTCTGAAAAGTTCTCTCGGAATTAGATAGTAGACCAGAAGAGCCTAAGTTACAGCCATCTGCTTTCAAGCTTGCAAGGAATTCTATCTTCCTGCAACCGCTGTCTCAAGTGCACCAGCTTCGGAATGTGCATCAATCTTTAAGCTCCTTGCAACGTCAAAAAAGTGAGCGACAGCTTCCTCGGGTGTGCCAACAAGAACACCATGACCCAGGTTGAGAATGTGACCCCTAGGCCCAGCAGACTTAACAACCCTGTGAAATATACAGTATGTGGGGATCTAATTAATATGCTATGAATATGTGTCTATCCAATGATACTACACTTTTCAGTTATGTTGGAAAAATATGAAATTAGATAAAGTAATCTACAACGATCTATCACCCATAATATTAACATGAAATTCCAAGTCAGGTCTGCATAAGACGACAAAATTCAACTCAGAAAGCTCGAAAATACATATCTAATGTGGAGTTGGCTTGGCTGCTAGAAAGGGGAAGAAATGAAATGCAGAGCAAAAACACAGACATAAACAAAGAACAAAAATTACATTGCTAACATTAGAATAATGTTGCACTGCTCAAAAGCAAAGCTAAAAATTACATACCTCTTGATTTCATCAGTCACAGCGGACAAGGGACTAAATAGAACAGCAGGATCTACATTTCCCTGAATACTAATATCATTTCCTAATCGCTTTCGTCCATCTTCCATGTCAACAGTCCAATCAAGCCCAATAACATCAACCCCAGTTGATTTCATCCGCTCAAGAAGGCCGCCATTTCCATTGATATACAGCACAAGGGGTGTTTGAGGGCATCTGCTTCTCACTGTGCTTACTATCTGCATTATAGAAAAACAGTTCTATGACAACAGGACCAAATGTTATGACCTTGCATCTCATTCCTGGTCCCACCTTCAAGAGAAGCCTTTCTCAAAGAAAAGGCAGAGAAGATGTCTTCACTTCATAAGATCAAATGTCAGATCAGAAAAAAAGATCATAGGCCAAACTATCAAATAAACTATTCTCAACTATGATGAATCAAGAAACAGTAAAACTGACAACTCAAACCCATAAAAATAGACTGCTTAATTTAATTCTTTAGGAGAGACACTTTATTGCTAGAAACCATTCTTCATAACATAGATTACACCCTGATTAGCTTCCCATGCTCAAGTCAAAAATTTTGCAATGTCAAATACTACAGCCATTGACAAAGTTACTTATTGTAATATACCTTCTCAATGTACGGCTTTGACCAACTGTCCCACATGTGCGGTGGGAGTTGTCCACCCCAGGAATCAAATATTTGAACACAATGAGCTCCAGATTGCACCTGGAAAACAATGTATTCAGCTAGTGCTTCTGTCAAATGCGAGAGAAGAGCCCTCAATACTTCTGGCGCAGTGCGGCACATGTTCTTTATTGTTGTATATGTACGAGTTGTGCCCCCTTCAACAATATAAGTAGCTATTGTCCAAGGAGCACCCACAAAGCCTAAAACTGCAGCATGCTCCCCGACCTAGATAGAAAGAAATTGAATAATCCACAGATCAAAAATTAACGAAGGCCCTGCCGAAATAGTCAAATAGACAAATCCACCATTACCAGCAATAGAACAATTGCTACGGAAAATGTGAGTAGCTAAGACTACCTCTTTGCGCAATATCTTTAAGGATTCCCCCACAAATTGTAGTTTACCCAAGTCAATCGGGTGTAACACTTTTAAATCCTCCTCATTCCGCAGAGGAGAATGAATAACAGGACCACGCACATCTTCTATGTCAAATGGGACACCAAAAGCAGGTAGAGGTGTGAGTATGTCAGAGAAAATAATAACTCCGTCTGGATGAAAAGCTTCCCAAGGCTGCAAAGAAATTTCCACAATGAGATCAGTTGTCTCTGACCTCTCTCTGAAGGATGGATATTTCTCGGCAAGTTTTCTGTAAATAGCCATATACCTTCCAGCTTGACGCATCATCCAAGCAGGAGCACGACTTACAGGCTCTCCTCTGGCAGCCTTCACCAAAAGGGGATCTGGATCCCAGTGTAAACTCAATTAATCAATAAAACCATTGATACAGTAAAAATATAGATAGATATCACTGTGCTGAAAAGAATTATCCACTTAACTATAAGGTAAATTCTCTGCTTTAAATGAGATGCCCATCAAAAGATGAATGAATGGATATGAACCAAGAAAACTAAATGCAAGCCCTAATTAAGCATCAAGCAAGTTGGCAGGTATCTTCCAACTGAAACTCGAGCAACCTACGCCACAGTGGATTACAGTTAAATTTCCACTGAAGTAGGACATAATGCAGCCTTAATCTATTGCAAAAACTAGGTTTGCTGAGACGTTTTGATCTATTTAAAGTCTACATCCAACTCTCGGCTCTATAAACATTTAAAATGATCAACAATCTGGAAGGAATCGATGATATCTGCTCGAGAAAAGTATTACTGAGTACCAGCCAGACTAACATCTAATCAATAATTCCTTGAATCTCTGACCACATCACTGAAAATGCAATAGCCAATTTTAAGGTCAAGTGGATATTTTATTTCAAACAAAAATCCTACCCAGCACTGTTCACAGCTGAATTCCAATTTCCCAAATGCCCGAGAGCTATAGCTTTGACCTTTAACTATGCTGCATTCAACTATAAAAGGCTCACTGTAAAAGACACCAATCTCCAACATTTCAAGTCCTACATATGAACAAATTACTGAAAAGGCAATATCCTATCAACACCCTACGGCAAAGTGGATACTTTAATTCAGAACAAAAATTCTAACCAACTCTCTTGTTAAGAACTTAGTTTCTGTACCCAAATCCCCAAAATGTATCATTTGATCTCAATTAAGTAGCAGTCTTCGATTAAAGGCTCACTCTAAAACATCAATCCCCAAATTCTAACTCCTAATGGTTTTTGTTAACCATCATCATTCAGTCATCTCTACATCACAAAGTCATTCATTTATCATAAAACTCAAACAAAATAAGCTAAGCATGATTTCTGAATGCCAGTAACTACGCAATGCGGTACAGGCAAAGAGGTAAATCCAGAAAAAAAAATAAATAAATAAAGAAGTTAGCTTTAAACTACAATTATACCAGAAGAAGAGGAAGAATAGCATGCCCGCGGGAATTTAAAGGGAGGAACTTTTCTGGGTCTGATTGAAGCATTTGAAAACAAACCCATTTGCACAAACAAACTGGATGACTTCCATCCCAGACCCAAATTGGAACTGCTACCATAACAGGCACTGAAACACAATTGAAGGGAAAATAGAAAGAACAATGAGCAAGTTATCCCAATCTCTATCAGCAAAGTCTCCTAGAAAAAGCAGAATAATTGAAGGAAAATGGAAGGAGGGAAAGAAGAGAGTACCTTGTTGCAGTTGAAAAACCCATATCTGTGTATGAAATGAAAGAAGAGAGACAAGGTGATCCTTTCTCTCCCTTATCTTTCTTTGTTGTGATTCCTTTGGGTCTCTGTGTAATATTGTCCTGGAATGGGGGAGTACTGTTAATTAGGTGGACCTTGCTGCACTACATCTTTAAAGCGCCATATAGAAGAAGTTCCAATTTCATTCTCTTTTCTTTTTTTCAAAGTGAAGAAAAACAGAAAACGTAACAATAAACCCTCTTTTTGGTTAATTCTTTTCGAGAGATGTTGGAAAGGAAAACGTAACAACAAACCCTTTTTTTGGTTAATACATTTTGGACCTAAGAAAAGAGAAAACTTCACGATAAATCCTGTTTTGGCTAATTGGCTATTCTGCTAAAATCGTAAAAGAACTAATTCATCACCCTTTGGCAATATAGAGATGGTCTTTTATTTGTATTTTACCATTTTATGTGCATACATGCCAATTTTCTGAGGTATCATTGTTAAACGTCTAAAAGTCAAATCATCATATTTCAAGACATGCAATCTTAAATAGTCATTTCGCTAGTTTTTCATAATCTCTTTCGAAGCGTTTGATAAACGCCAAACAATTTGCTGAATAATTTGTTTCTATTAGATGTGCTCCAGCTTGAGTGTTCAATCCCGTCTTGAATGTGATATGTTCAACTCAATTTTTGTGATATGTTTCCTGCCTTTTGATAGCTCCATGTTGCTATTGATGGTACCTTCATTTTTTCAACTTAATGTATGTGATATGTTACTGAGAAAAGAGCACGCGAATTGTACTGTTTTGATTTAATAAAGAAGAGCCTAATTTTGGAGCAATGACAGTATAGATTCAGTAACTAGTTACGTTTTCTATAGTTCTCAAGATTCAATACACTCTCTGAGCAAAATCATCAGACAACTAACTGTGAACCTAATAGCAAGCTGACAAGCTAAGTGCCTCTTTCTTATTTTCTCTTTGATTTGATTCAATTTTCAATAGCACAAATTTTTTCAATACCACCAATTTTGCATTTTCAAGGCAAAAAAATTAAAACCGAAACTCTATGTCTAAAAGACTGTCAATTGGAAGGTCTTATGTTCTGCACTATGATTGAGATGAATAACGAATGACAAGAAAGAAGTCCTTGAACGTGCCATCTTTTCATAACCATTAACAAGAACTCCTCCAGTACAAAAGAAAAGCCTGCAAAAATCAAATTTTGTGAAGGCCAATGCCATAAGGCAAATGCAACTTCTGTCTTTCACGGCAACTAGTGCTCACTTCATCGTAAATGATGGAGTAGTTTGAGCTACTGATGTTCCTGAAATAGCATGATGTGTTATCCTTGTAGCTGTATGTTTGTTCTGTAGTCCCCAAGCCACTAACAACCAGATTTCCTTTCACAAGCATAGTACCTTGTGCCTTCTGCAAATTTTTCAAAGAGCTGCCGGCGAATCCCTGATCAGATTTCTTTTCCTTATTCGCGTTGAGGCCTAGAGATACATTTGACACGGCAGTATAGCTTCCATTTCCATGATCCACGATATCGGTGTACAAGTAAAGCGGAAAGCTTTTCTGTGATTCAACTATAGTCTGAGAGGAAGATGGCATCTGAACTATTACCTTTTCATGATAATCAATTGTCTGATTCACAATCTGCTTATTTGCCTCTTTCCCCAGCACCATGAAGTTAGTATAGTTAAATCTCTGAGTTGCACTGGTGATGATGGTACCATAGGAGGACTTCACCCACCCTGATGATGTTATAGTCTTGCTAACGTTCATGGAAAATGTTCCATCAAAACCTTTGAAGCTCGAAGCGAAAGATAAGGATAGAAGACTGACATTTAAGCTTGTTAGTTTTCCTTCTGTCTTCGAGCCCTTTTTGTCCAACCAAAGATGCAAATTTGCATCTATGAACCAAACATTCAAAGCATTTGTAACACGGAACTCCAAAATATGAGTCTTTGCATCCAGTATGTTTCCCAAAAATGGGGTCATTTCAATGTTGTAAGATGGCAAATCAAATGAACCTATACCGGTGATTGGTCTCCACAATAGGGGATTGATACCCCCAGTATAAACCACAGTGAAAGGCCAAACTGAGCCAACAACAACACTATCCAAGCTTACAAGCACTTCCCTAAAAGGTCCATTCCCTGGTGTTCCAGTAAGATTATTTGTTGCAATGTACTCATTGTAAAAGTTTGTGTACCAAGATTCATCATTTTCATGAAATGAAACATAAACTTCCAACATAGCCCTGTAAGCATTTTGTGGGATCTTGAATTTCTTTGACTTCACATCAGTAGAATTCTGAATTTGAAACCACAACCCATCATTCAATGGCAAATTTCTTGAAATGGGCAGTATCAAATCAGCAGCCCCATTGACATGATTATCAACATTCAGCTTACCAAGACCATATTTTTCTTCAGCAGGGTAAAAGTACATACTAATGTTCACATGGTAAATCCCAGTATAAGTATCATCAACGATATTTCCCAGAAAAACAGCTAATGTCTGGTTAGTCATGAGCAAAGAATAATACCTGGTAATGTCCTTATGAACAGTCCAGACAATCCCAGTTGCCCTTGGTTCAGCTGTACAGCTCCTGAAAATCTCAACCCCACCAAGCCAAACTCCAAAAATCCTATCAAATTGCCTTCCTTTGCAAGTGGCTGTCCATTCAAGAACAATTTTCTCAAATCTCTGGGACTGGGAATTTGAGGGAGGAGTGTACTCTGCCAGAACTGGTGGCTTCCCATATGTGTAACCAAAATCATGTAGGAGGATCAATTTTTTTATGGGTTTAGTGTTGGGAAGCTGAATCGGCTTGGTGACCTCAAAGAATGTGGTTGGAGGAGTTGCATTTGACGAAGTTGAAATGAACTCATTGGCAATGGCATCAGGTTCAGGAATCTCTAGTGATCTAAGAAGGGACTTTGTTTCGTAGTGATTAGCTGAGGACAATAAGGGTTGGTGTAGAAATGAGAGAAGAGAGAGCAGAATGTTAAAGAGGCGGGGAAGGGAGAAAGCCATTAATGAATTTCTTTCTCAGATTTAGGTGTTGCGGAGGTGATAGATAGTGATTGTAATTTGTAGGTAACAGTAATAAGGAATTAAAGTTTTAAACAACCGGGAAGAAAGCAAAATGGACAATTTGAAAGCTAGATGTCACATCAATCTAATGCTGCAAGTTTGGTGTATAAATGTAGAAAATGAATCAGAAGGTGCAATTAAGAATCTTGCTTCTTTGGCTGCACTATGGAGTATCTGTCACGTGGAAAAACAGCATTTAATCAACTTGGATTATTAAATCCTCAATTCCTCATTACATATTGTATTGGGGAGACAAACTATGCTTTTTTAGATACACATGAAAGCGCATAGCAAAGTTTAAAGCATAAGCCATCTTACTGGAATGGGGCTTTCTTCTGTGAGAGTACAAATCCAGTAATACTGATGAACTCATGAACATGAAATAGCAATTTTTAAGAGTACAGTGACAGCAAGGCTGGATCAGGACAAATTTTGTGCAGATATTTGTAGGACCAAATCAGTCAGCCTTGTTTTCTGCGTAACGTAACAGGAAGATGCTTCCCCCATGCGCCTAACTGAACATAGACCTCCACAAGTGATGTTCCACCAAACAAAATGAGAGCCTTTCTGCCAAGGTAAAAGTCTTAGATGTTCTATAATTTGAGTTCAAGTTACGGTTTTTTCATTCATGGGTCTACAGATTCCTTCCTGTTTGTTTAATCATTTTCATAGGTTTTGACCTGGTAATCTGCCCTGTTGCTGTGGGTATTGTCGATGGTCAAATTCAAGGGTATTGGTGCTATAGCAGATTCCAGTTGAAAGTTATATATACTTGGAATTTGGAAATGTAGACGGAAAAGCTGAAGACAACAAAACTATCTGGAATGTTGCAAAAAGATTGAACTAATGGAAATACTAAAATTTTGCAGGTGCATACCTCTTACTGAAGTAAGACCTCCATTCCAATTACACTAAAGAAAAAACCCTTCAAAATCAAATTAGATGATGGCCGAGACCATTAGTCAAGTGCAGCTTCTGCACTTTTCTGCTGCAACTGTCTCTCACTTTATCGTGAAGAATTGTGTAATTTGAGCTGCTTATGTTCCTGAGATAGCAGAACTTATTATCATCATATTTGTACACTTGCCTAGTACTCCCCAGTCCACTAAGCACCAAATTTCCTTTCACAAGCATAGTGCTTTCTCCCTGCTGTAAGTTCCTCAAAGAGCTGGCTGCAACTCCGTGATCAGTTATTAGTTTCTTCTTCTCGTTGAATGCTCGAGATATATTTGACACAGAATTATAGGTTCCATTTTTCTGGTCTACACTGTCAGTGTACAAGTAAAGGGGAAAATTCTTAAGGGATGCAAACGACATCTGGGAGGAAGATGGCATCTTAACTGTGACCTTGTCATTATAATCAATAGTCTGGTTCACAATTTGCATGTTCCCCTCATTTCCCACAACCATAAAGTTGGTGTAGTTCAACACTTGAATCGACTTCGTGGTGACTGTACCATAAGAAGACTTCACCCATCCTGATGATGTTATGATCCTACTAATATGACTGGAGAACGACGCATCAGTACCTTTGATATTCGACAATGTAGAAATGGTTAAAGGAGGGGTCTCGTGTTCTTTGAGTTTACCTTCTGTCTTCGCACTCTTTTTATCTATCCAAAGATGCAAATTTGCATCAATGTACCAAACATTCAAAGCATTTGTAACACTGAAAACGAAAGCATGAGTCTTGGCATCCAATAAATTGCCCAAATATGGAGTAATCTCAATGTTAAAAGAAGGCAGATCAAATGAACCAATACCACTGATTGGTCTCCACAACAAAGGATTGATACCCCCAGTATAAACCACAGGAAAAGGCCAAACTGAACCGGCCACAACACCATCCAAGCTTACAACTACCTCTCTAAAAGGTCCATTCCCCGGGACTCCACTAAGTTTATTTAAGGCAATGTAATCATTGTACAAATTGGTGTACCAGAATTCATCGTTTTCATGATATGAAACATAAACTTCCAACACAGCTCTGTACACATTTTGAGGAATCTTAAACTGCTTTGTTTGCACATCAGTAGAATTCTGAATTTCAAACCACAAACCATCATTCAAAGGCAAATCTCTCGAAATGGGCAGTATCAAATCAGCAGCCTCAGAACTAAATTCAATCACAGAATCATCTACATTGAGCCCACCACCAAGATCATGTTTTTCTTCAGCAGGATAAAAATGAATACTAACATTCACATGGTACACCCCAGTATAAGTACTATCAATGATGTTCTGAAGATAAACAGCCATGGTTTGATTAGACATAAGCAGAGAATAATACCTGGTAATGTCCTTCTGAACAGTCCAAACAATCCCATTAGGCCTGGGTTCAGCAGTACAACTCCTCAAAATCTCAACCCCACTGAGCCAAACTCCAAAAATCCTATCAAATTGCCTCCCTTTGCAAGTGGCAGTCCATTCAAGAACAATTTTTTCAAATCTCTGGGACTGAAAATTTGTGGGTGGGGTGTAATTTGCAAAAACCGGTGGCTTCCCATAAGTGGAACCAAAATCATGTTGAAGGATCAGGTACGTGAAAGGTCTCGTCTTGGGAAGTTCAATGGGTTTTGTGACCTCAAAGAATCTTGTTGGAGGAAGGGTGGCATTGGATGAAGTCGAGATGAACTCATTGGCATTGGAAGCATCTTCTTTAGAACTGAAGTCTACTGATCTGAAAAGGGCTTTTGTTTCGTAAAGATTTGCAGAAGACAACAGAGGTTGATGGAGGATTAGGAGAAGAGGGAGGAGAAGGAAGAAAGAAGGGAGAGACGAAACCAAAGCCATTGATGAATTGAATTGAAGAATACTGTACTACAGACTACTACTCCAATTGGGTGGTTGTGACTTGGAAATTACAAGGCATTTCAACTTTGTTAATGTCTTGTAAATTGTAATTTGAGGAGGAAACAAAGTTGTAGTCTTTAACTCGTTAGGAAGAATTAGCAGATTGAACGAATGCTAAACATTGGGTTTGGGTGGAAGACTACTACCTCTGGTTTCCCTGAAGTCTGAACTAAGAAATTATCGGAGGCCAATTAAAGCTTCTGACTTATCTTCTTGATTTTTAGTTTTTACCCACGTCATTATTTTTCTACAATCGACGATTAAATAAAAGAAAATCACTTTACTCTGTAGAGATCTTCAAGTAAAAAAAAAAAAAAAAAGAAAAAAAAAAAAAATAGATCCCATCGGATTAGACAATTATTATTTATTGGAGTCAAACATGTTACCTCGATTTAATGCGTACAATCTGCAGTGTAGACACCAAAATCATTAGAACATTCGGCTACGTTACTCCCTCCATTTTAAAATGTAGGTAGTTTTAGGTTTGGAGAGATTTTTTAAAATATAAGTCGTTTTACAAATCCTAGACAAATTAATAACTATTTTTCTAATTTTACCCTCAATAAATAATGTCAATATATTTTCATTTAGTCTCGTTTATAATTCTAATGTAATTAATGAAGGGTTAAATAGATACTTAACACATAAATTAATTGTTGGATGATTGTCTCTTTATTATACGTACAAAGTCTAAAGTGACTTACATTTTGAAATGGAGGGAGTATTACTTTGGCTCGTTTTATAAACCTTGAGTGTGATTTTGTTTTCGTTTTATTTTTAAATTGAGAAAGTGAATCATTTTGCCAGCTCTCCCACCCTTCGAGATGCCTACCATGAGTGATGGGATTAGTTACTGTTGTCGACGGTGTATTTCCTACAATATGTAAAAAAATTAAAAAAAAAATGGGAAAGTGAATTTTGTTTTCATTTTCATTTTATCTTAAAAAAATGTGATTAAAATCATAGTTTGAGTTTAAGTTGTTTTGCTATTTTATTATCATTTTAATTCTATTGCAGTCTCTGTAGATAGTGCTGGTACTCCCATAATTTACATACTAATTTAGATCATCATTAAATAATTGATTAATTAATAAATTACTAATTTAAGAAATTATTTATTTTAAGGGAAAAATCCTTATTACATTACCTTTTTTCTATCATCTTTACTATCTAGATTAGGTATATATTGAAACTATTCTCAATGCTAAAACCCATACATAGTTTACATTATTTTCAGTAGCTAAAAATCTCATACATTCCCTTACAATCCTACAACACTTCTTACGTCATTATATAAAATTTATCACATTTTTGTATTCAATTTTTACTTTTTTTAAAAAAAAATTACTACCACCCTAACCCATCATTAGATGAACCCGTCAGGGTCATGCGTCAAAATCTTGGTGAGTGATGTAGGAAATAGAGTGGTATAGGATTATTATTTACGAGATTTTTTGCTCATTTTCCACAACTGAAAAATAAGTATTAATAGTTCATATTTTACTAAATAATTATAATTATTTTTATTTTTTTATTTAAGATAATCATTAATTTATTATAGTATTGTTGGGACCTTGATGAAGCAAATTTTGACATGGCCCATTTGACAAGAATGATGGGCTTTCAAAGGAACAGGCCCAAAGGCCCAATTGCACAAAAGGTCTCATATGGGTTTAATGTGGGACCCTCTTTTAGACACTTCCTAAATAGTGAACTATATATACTCCAAAACATTCATTTCAGGGAGTTAATTCACACTATTTATTCTCTCTTTAGTGTGTATTTATTTTACTTCTCTCACTAGACTGGCTTTGGCATCGGAATGCTAACCCTTGTCTTGCAGGTTCCCGTTTTAGTTTACCGTTAACTCGCTGCCATCGGGATTTGCCTTCGTCAAGTGGCGCCGATTGTGGGGAGGCATATACTTAGTGAAGGGCGAGCCCAAGAGCTCTACAAGAGTTATGGTCTCTACTAGGGCGAGACCTGAAGAAGACACTAGCCGATGCCCTATCGTTAGATCTGAAGTAGTGAGAGAGTCAACCAGGCGTACGCCAAGAAGGACCCCCAAGGAGAACCGGGAGGATGACCCACGTCCCGAATAGGGGATGGGGAAGCTCACTCGCGAAGACATTCGGAGCGGAGGCACGGTCACTCCCATCGTGATAAGGAGGATGGACGCGAGCGTCGACATTCCCATCAACCGTCCGGGGCTGCTAAATCTCACTGACCTTCTGATAATGGTCCTGATCCGGTGTTCTAGAAGGCCCTATCTGACAAATATCCGGAGGCCAGAAAGAAGATTCGTCGGTTCGAGGAGGACTACTACGGAAAGAAGGATCGGGGTTGGAGTGCCAGTTTGCAGTACGTAGGGGAGAAGCGCAGATTGTTCGAAGACATGAGAGACGAGCCTGCTGCTAAACGCCCAGGTATTCAAGAAACTCTAGGACTCGTCAACCCGGTAGTGGATGAGAATCGACTCCCTGTGATTCCGGGGCTTGACTCAAGGTTAGAGGCTATTCTCGGAGGGCAGGAGATTAGTCCGAGCCCTTTGCGAAGCATAATCGAATGTGCACTAAACCTGACAACTTCAAATTGCCCGAAGATATCAAGAAATATGGAGGAGAATCGTGCCCCGTCAGCTTCCTCGCCGACTATACTGCGGCTATGGACCTGCGGGGCGCGTCCTGGGAGCTTATGGCCAAGGTCTTGCCTACTTTTCTCACCGACAGGGCTAAAACGTGGTTTGACAACCTGCCTCCAGGGAGCATGGGTTCGTACCAGGAGTTAGGGTGGATGCTTCATGTCCGGTTCTTTTCCAATAAAAAGACCTCCAAGTCCATCCATGAATTGGCATCTGTACGACAAGGGAAAAACGAGACCTTGGCCCAATACTGTGACCGGTTTAACAAAGAGCTTATGCTCATCGACCAGATAGAAGACCTCGTTGTCCGAGTAGAATTCGTTAACGGTCTCTCTCTCCCTTTAGTCCGGGGGCTGCTCTTCGGGGAGAACTTATGGACAAGCAGCTCGAGAGCACCCAAAAGCTCTGGGAGATAATCGAAAAGGAGGTTCGCAAGGAAGAGTAGCTCCGGCGAGCTCGAGAAGCCCTCCAAGGAGATAGAAAGGAGAAGAAGCCCGAGGAAAGGAGGTCAACCGCTGCCCCTAAATATGAAGTCAAGCTGACCCCACTTATTAAGACTCGAAAGGAAATGTTGCATATCCACAAAGGTGAATTTAAGGCCCCCTCACGGACGAAGAACATTGGGTCGTCCGATGAGTGGTGTTAATTTCACCAAGGGCCATGATACCGAAGATTGTCGGGACCTCTAACAGCAGATCGATGAGGGTCTTAAACTAGGCAAATTCCAGAAAAACCTCAAGAAGTCTGGGGGTGGGAACGCGGGCTTCAAGGGAAGGCGGAATCAGAAATGGAAAAAGAACGATGCCAAGAATAAGCCCGCAAAAACAAAAGTCGAAGCAGCAGACAAGGGAGAGGACCAGGCGCAGGCTCAGAAAATCTTAGCCGCCCCTGTGGGGGCTATATTCGGGGCATGCCTTACTGTTCTTAGTATGTTGGGACTAAAACGTGATGCTCGACCTCGTCCCCCAGGGGAAGATGTGGTCAAAAGGTTCAAGGTTTCAGAAGAAATCACTTTCTCCGACCAAGATGTCGTCTTCAATGCAGCTGAAGGGTCGGATGCGCTCGTGATCGAAGCCATCGTCGCTAATCGTATGGTGCAACACGTGTACGTGGATAACGGGAGCTCGGTGGACATTATGTACTACGACTGTTTCCAAAAACTTTGTCTTGATCGAGCTATGCTCCGACCGGCTCTAACGCCGTTGGTAGGTTTCTCCAACCATGTGATTATGCCCTTAGATATAGTTACCCTTGCTATGACTGTAGGAACCCAATCTCGGCTAAAGACGGTGATGTGCGACTTTGCTGTGATGAATGTGGTCGCCCCGTTCAACATCATATTAGGTCGACCCTTGATGTGCAAAGCCAAAGTTGTTTATTCCCCCACCACCTGATCATGATATTTCCAAGACCCGCCCGAATAGTGGAGATTCACGGAAACTCACAGATAGCCAAACAATGTATGGTCGTCGCAATGAAGAAAGGAAAAGAGCTGCTGATGAAGGCATCGGAGGTCAATATGGTCCATGAGACGGGTCCTCAGCGTGCAAGAGTGCAGACCCAAGAGTCCAACACAGAGGCTGCGGAACCTAATGGCGAGTATGATGCTGTTCCAATCAACCCCTATGTGGAAGGTCGAGTTATCTAGCTTGGACGCGTTCTACCCCCCAACCTACGAGAGATGGTGGTTCGGTTACTTCGAGAATTCCAGGACGTCTTTGCGTGGGAGCCGTCGGACATGACAGGGATCCCCGGGGAACTGGGTATCCACCGTCTCAACGTGGACCCAAGCGCCCACCCCATTCAGTAGAGGAAAAGGAAGATGGCACCAAAGAGGAGTGCTGCAGTCGATGTTGAGCTCACCAAACTATTGGCCGCGTCCGTGGTCAAAGAAATCCTCTACCCGACCTGGTTAGCTAACCCAGTTATGGTGAAGAAGCCCGACTTATCATGGAGGATGTGTGTGGATTTCACTGACCTCAAAAAGCATTGCCCAAAGGATTGCTACCCCTTGCCTACCATCGAATAGAAGATCGATACTATCGTCGGATATCCAGTTTTATGCTTTCTCGATGCTTATAAGGGGTACCACCAAATCCTTATGGCCAAAGAAGACGCTGAGAAGACGGCGTCCATCACCGACTGCGGAATCTATTGTTATGAGAAGATGCCGTTTGGATTGAAGAATGCAGGAGCTACGTACCAACGGATGGCAAATTGAGTAATCCGCGCCCAGATTAGACGCAACATGGAAATCTATGTCGATGATATGGTGGTAAAGAGTGTCCACCTATCATCG